CTATAATTATTTTATTAGTTTTATATAAATATAATCTATTTTATCAATTATTAGATATAACAACTAATAATACTAGTAATAATAGTTTAATATTTAGTATAATCTTATCTAAATTTCGGACTTAGCTTAGCTAAAGTATTTAGCTTTATAATACTTTACTTTATTCTGATTTTATAATAATTATTTAAAGCTAGTATTATATATTCTGTTTTACTTATATAATTCAGCTTGTAGTTAATATTCTTTTATAAAAACTTCGGATTAAAGCCTTAAATAGTATTATTAAATATATATAAAAGATTTATACTAAAAGTCTTAAAGCCTCTTCTAATATTTTAAAAATTCTTAAAAAAATATATTCTAGAAGCTATCTGTAAAAGACTAATATAAAAAGTCTTTACTATTTATAATAAAGACTATTTAGATTAGTCTTTTACAGACAGACTCTAAAGATCTTTTTTTAATAATAGCTAATTTTACTAATTTTTAATTATAGATTTGGAAGATTATATAATTTATAAATATAAGCTTTTAATATTATAAAAAATTTCAGCTTATTTAATAACTTAAATCAGACTTAGTCTATTATTTTTTTTTTTATTATAAAACTTGCTGGAACTTAATCTATCTTATAATTTATTATATATTTAATCTTTATTAAATAATTAAAAGTTTTATTTAGTACTGTAATTATAATAATATTAATTATTTTTACTTTACTATAACTAAATAAAAATAGATAAAGTATTTTTTTAAGCTTTTATATTTTTTTTTTCTTTTTATATTCTATTTATCTAAGAACAGTGGGCCTACTGTTTATAAAATTTATAATATTTATAATAATTTTTTTAATTATTTAAATTATTTAATCAACCGACTAGTAAAAAAGCAAGTATTTTAAAAAAAAAAGATTCTTAAAGACTTACAGAATATATATTAAAAATTTTAAAAATACTACTATTATATCTACCAGATAGAAGACTATATTTATATAATTATAATTATTCTAGACCCGATATTAAAGCTTAAAAAATTTAAAAAGAATATTTAGTTAAATAATAATATTAACTAGTATTATAAGTACCGAACTGTTTTTAAAAAAATATTCTATTTTTATTATAGTTAGAATCTAGTTATTAATATACTATTAACTATTTTCGGGTTACTATTAAGCCTGAATAAAGTCTTTTATAATATTTTTAAATATTAAAAACTTTTACTAGCAGCCGAGATATTCAAAAAACTTAAAATATATTTAAATATTAAAAATATATAGCTTATAAAAATATCTTTAATTAAACTAATATTATTTTAGATATTATAAAATATACTAATATTCTTGCTTACTAAAAGTCCCGCTGTAATTAGTTTTTTATTTTTTATTAAATAGCTAAAGATTTTCTCTTAGTTACTACTAATAGTATTAGTATTAAATATTTATTTAATAATTCTTAAGATATCTGCTACTATTATTAGAACCGTCTTTATACTAATATAATTAAAGTAGTAATACTTTAGATATATACTAATTATTTTACTATTAGTAAAAAATACTAGAATATTCTTAATAATCTTAATCCGGATTTAATTATTTTTATATTTAAAAAGTAAGAAAAGAATAAGATGATTACTATCTTCTATATTAATAAAAATAAGAATATAGATAATTTTAAAAATAATCCAAAAAATAAATTATTATTAAAAATAGAAAAGCTAGCTTTATCTAAATTTTTAAATATTATATATATTTAGATAAAGATAAAAACCCGGTTTTTTTAATTTCTCTGCTATTATAATCACTGTTTTAGACAGTATAAAAAGTAATATAATCTTATTAGTTTATCTAATATTAAATATTATTTTTTTTATACTAGATTTTATAAAAATCTTTTTTAAAATATAGTATACCCCTCAGCTCCACGGGGGAAGAGATTAAATAGATTAAATAAATTAAGCAGATTAAGCAGGTCAAGTAGATTAAGTAAGTTAAATAGATTAAACAGATTAAGCAGATAAATCAGAAGAATTAGAACTATATTATAATATTAAATAGATAAGCTAAATCTAAAGAATAATATTATATTATAATTAAAAGTATATTATACTTTATATATTATTTATATAAAAAAAATATATATATTACTAATTAATTTATAATTATTAATCTACCTGCTATATCTAATCTTTCTAACCAGCAGATATAAATAGTTAAAATAATAATTATATTTTAATCTAATTATAACCGTATGGTTAAAATTTTTTTGTATTTTAATCTGACCGCTAGGTTATAGCCAGGTTAAGGTTAAGGTATAACGGTCAGGTTAATCCACTCTAACCCGGTTTAATAAAGAAGTATAATTATTATATAATATCTATTACTATAATACTTTATATTTATTATAATAATAGTCTATTTTAAAGTTAATATAAATTTATTAGACTTTTAATCTAGATATTTATATTATTATATTGCTTACTTCTTTTTTTTTGTATAATATATTATTCTGAGATTTTTTAGAGAAGAAGATTTTCTAAGAATTAGTTTTAAAATTAATAGAAGACTGCTTTTAATTATCTTACTTATCTTACCTAACCAGTATATCCACTGTGTTAAGTAGTTCCTAATATTTTAACTCCGCGAAAACTAAAAAAACTAATATATATATTAATCTGTCTATAAATAAACAATAATATAATATCTGTCATTATATTATTTATTATTTATTTATTATTAAATAAAAATTAACCGCGGAGACTAATAATTAGAATAAAAACCAGAAAATATATATCATGATAGTTTATTTAGAATATATTTTGAATAAGTTATAAAAAAATAAGACAGCTATATTCTATTACAGAAAAAATAAGCTGGTTTTTATAAATCTTTTAAAATATAACTCAAGGATTTTATAAATAAACAGCAAAAAGCCTAATTAAAAATATTTAAAACTAAGCTTTATAAAACCACTCCGAGGTTCAAAGTCTTTTCTTGCTATGGTGCTCTCATGGTTCTCGGGGACGACTTTCTCCCATGACTGTTTTGTGTCTCGAGGCAGAGACGGTGGTGGAGAGAACTGTTGGAGTTAGGGCAACTAGTTCTAGTAAAGTTGTAGTGACAGCGGCTCTCCCCGCCACTCCTTCAGCGCGTATCATCCTTTGTTTGCGGTTCTTGTCGTACGCTTGAAGTGAATTACCCAATAGTTCTTTGGACAGAATAAATGCAAATGTGCGAGGGAAATACACGGGCGCCTGTCTCTGGCATCAGTATAGGCGCCAGACTCTCCCCCAAGTCATGCCTGCGTCACTTTTCGGACAGGACGGTAATGATGCCTCAGACACCAACAACCCATCCGCACCTCTGATGTCGGTCGATCGTTCATGCTCTTCTCATCCTTATTAGCCTAGGATCCTGTCATGGCCAGAAGCTATCTCGAATTCCGCTGCTATATAAGTGATTATGCTTGCAGGACGTGCGCTGCGACACTGCATATTCTTCCCCCACAATATCGATTATCCCCCCCGGCCGTGGGCTGCAATCCTTCCAACAGGAGTTCCTTCCCACGTGTTCTTAACGACGAAGCCATCATGCTTGATACAATTTTCTTTCGTCGCACTATGAAGTAATAAGTGTTCGGGCCTTAGCACTCAGTATACCTCACGACCCTTGCCATTTCCAATTGGCACAGAGTTATCTTATGAAAGCAAGCACATAGCTGGCCTTCGGAGTGTGTCTTCCAAAACCGTTGACAGCCTTCACTTAATTCTTGTGGACAGAGATCCCCGCAGGATACACTTCGCATGTGAACACACCCGTTGGTTGGATCAGCATTAGGTAATTGTCACAGTAAAGATATCGACGAGAGTCTGCTATTTCAGCTGTTACCCAGAAATGTTCTAAGGCACCATAGCGAATACATCATATACTCACAGGAAATTGTCTAGAGCAGTGTCTGCTGTTATCTCTCACCTCAAAGCCTTTCTCAGACATGGTAATTATCCCCCTCCTGCTGCATTGTCTCAGCGTCTCGTCATTATCGCACTTTTCAACGCGGGCCCAGAACACCCGGAGACTTCCTAATGTTATCACAAACTGCAATCACACCATTCGCTACCGTTATACTTGTGCATGCAGCTCGCAGTAAAAGTCTTCAAACTAATGCAAAGTTATCTCGGCAATTCAATCAAGTAGCCGAGGAGTGTTATGCTCTGTACGCTATCATGCCCGAAGTCGGCGGGGTCGCTCTTGCGCCATCAAAGTCGCGGATAGTAACATTCCTCAATCCCCGCATCGGAATGCCACAAAATATAAGTGAATACATCGACAGAGCTCTACGTGTGCCCAAATAATAGCAGCAGTCATTCAAAACCCCCAGGAACTCGAAACATCACACAGCGACCATGTTGTCCAATGCTTCTGACGATGGGCACATCCAACCGGCACGAACCACTGGCAGTGAAGACCCTAAAGAAGTCTTCATCAACGAGAAACCCATCCCTGGGAGAGGCTATGTGCACCAGATCAACCGCAATGCAGATACCACTATTCCTGACAATGGGGAGGCTATCCCAGGCTACGATGCCGATTTAATGCGCGAACGTGCCGCACTGAGTGCGGACGAGGAGAAGAAGCTCCTGCGACGCGTGGATTGGCATTTGATCCCGCTTCTGGCTGTTATCTATATGCTGAAAAGTGTCGACTTCACAAACGTGAGGCCTTCCATGCTAAGGGCGATTATGAGGGTAGTTCTCTGACGAGAGCTGTTTTAGGTCTCTTACGCACTCACCATGGACAAAGGAACCCCTCACAACATCTTGACTGAGCTAGGAATGACGAAGGATCAGTATAATCTGGTGACAGCAATGTATTATGTGAGAATCACCTTTTTCATAAATAGCTGCGATGCAGACTGACGTGTGTCAAGATCCCCTACATTATCGCCGAAGCGCCGTCCAATCTACTGATCAAGGGGGTCAGGCCCTCCGTCTGGCAAGCTCGGATTCTGGTAAACGTCATTGGCCCACCAGATATGTCTTACGTCTAACATAACCAGGTCTCATGGGGAATCGTTCTCTGTTGCCACGCAGCAGTCAAGAATCGGCAGGGCCTGTATGCTGTCCGCTTCTTCCTGGGGCTATTCGAAGCCGGTCTTTGGCCGGGGATTCTGGTCCAGTTATGTTACTGGTATCGACCTGATGAGATAGCTCCCCGGATTGTGCTGGTCACGCTGCTGGGGAATTTTAGCGCGGTCATCAGTGGTGTGCTTGCCTTTGCGTTCAACGGTGTGACGACCGGGGGGTTGTCGGGGTGGAAATGGTGCGTCCGGCAGATCCATGCCTGATCGATGTCCTCGAAGCTAACCTTGCGACTAGGTTGATTCTGACAGAGGGGATCATCACAATCGTTCTGGGTGTTCTCACATATGTTTTCCTGCCGGATTGTATGCATGCTCATTCATATCAACTCAGACACCGCTGACTGACTCCATCAGTTCCCTCTACATCATCCTGGCTCTCCGAAACGGAACAAGCCTTCATCCAAGCTCGCCTCCCCCGAAATTCTCCTCGAGCGCAAGAATCCAACTTCAACCTGCGCGAGCTGATTAACACGCTGCAAAACGAAAGAATCTGGCTATTCCTGCTCTGTTGGGCATTTTTCACTGTCGGAACCACCGGTCTCACATTCTATCAGCCCACTGTGATTGCTAATCTCGGCTTCACGCGAGTACACCCCAGAGTTAGATTTCGAACCGAAGTGCTGACCAATTTTCAAGCTCGATGGGCGAATCCCTCCTCCTCAACATCCCCTCCGCCGTGTTCGCGGTGATCCTGACCCTAGCGTTCGGGGTCTTCGCCGACACCGGAAGGATCCCGCAACCGGCCATCCCGCTCGCCTTCATGATAGTCATTGAGGCGTGCTATGGCGTGCTCTATGCATTTCCGAACAGCGGGGGTGTCTATGCCGCTACGATCATCGCGGGCGGACTTTCCACCGCTTGGTAAGCACGCTCCCTCCGAAACTCTTTGCCACTCGCTGATGGCAGCTGCAGGTACGTGATGATGTGGCCATGGCGAGTCCAGACGACGCAGGGGGCCACCGGCTCGGCGTTTGCGATTGCCTTCGCCAACAGCTACGGGCAGATCGGAGGCGCAGTGGGATCGCAGTTGTTCAATTCTCGGTATGCGCCGCGCTATACCACTTCCTTTGGCATTGCCATGGGGTTTGTGGGCATGGCGATCATAATGAATCTGATTACCTGGGGGCGTACGTGGAAGGTGGATGTCGATACGAGGAGGTTGAAGAGAGTTCGGCGGGCGGCGGCGAAGGAGAATCAGGCGGTGCTGGAGGATATTGACTTCCGTTGAGGGAAAATGGCTTGGCATCTCTCTAGCGAGATTAACGGATCGGTCTATTATGTGGAAATGGTTGAGGTTCTGTGTAGATAAGCAATTCGACAGGTGTGGTTCTATCTTGAACCAACGAAGCCTGGTGTCGGATGCTGATAAGGCACGCCATTGCGGGGAGAAATGCCCTAATCTACATTCATCCGTTTCCCCTCACGGACTCACCGAAGCCTGAGAATTGATTTACACCTTACCACCCCAAGATTAGATATCCTCCCGGGGGGACATTATTGCAGATTAACGCCTCAATGAAGACAATCGAGATTATCAACATCGCTATCCTAGCGAGGCTGGCTCTCGCTGCAATACAGCAACCACTCGCCGACCCCCTCTCCCACAATGCAAGAGTCAATCCCAGCACCGAGTCAGCACTCGACCAGATAATCACCTCCTCGCCTCTCCTCGCCTTTCACCGCGATATCGTGTCCATCGAATCCATCTCTGAAAACGAGCAAGAAGTCGGCGACTTCATCATCGACTTCCTTTCCTCCCACAACCTCACCGTCGAGAAGCAGGCCGTAACCCCAGAGACGGATGCCACCAGAGAGCGCTTCAACATCTACGCCTACGCAGGGGACAACCGTTTCCCCGAGATCCTGTTAACAAGCCACATCGACACCGTGCCCCCCTTCATCCCTTACTCCCTTCACCCCCCAGCCCCGAGCCCGCATACCGGGAAATCCGACCGAAAGGACCTCCTCATCGCCGGCCGCGGCACCGTAGACGCAAAAGCCAGTGTCGCAGCCCTAGTCTTCGCCGTCCTCGACACTCTCGCCACAGACCCGACGGCATCCATCGGCATTTTACTGGATGTCGGCGAAGAGAAGTCGGGCGTGGGGATGAAGCACTTCTCCGCCTCGGAGCTCAACCCCACGCCGTCGAGCTTCCACACCGTCATCTTCGGCGAGCCCACGAATGGAGATCTCGTGAAGGGCCACAAGGGCACGCTGGGGTTCAAGGTCGTCGCGCGCGGGAAGCCCGCGCACTCGAGTTATCCCTGGGTCGGGCAGAGTGCTATCCTCTCCATCTTGCCTGTTCTCGAACACATCAACTCCCTGCAGTATATTGCCCCGGAGGAAGGGGGGTTACTGTGGGGTGAAGTGCTGGGTAACTCTACCTTGAATATCGGGACTATCAGCGGAGGCGAGGCGGCCAATGTTGTACCGGCGCATGCTGAGGCCACAGTCTCGGTGCGGTTGGCGGCGAGGAGCCCGGAGGAGACCAGGCGGATTATTCAGGCTGCTGTGGATGAGTTGACGGATGGGGATGGAAACGTGTTTCTGGACTTTGGCGGTGGGAGTGGAAATGGGACGGTCGGGGCACCACCGCAGTTTTTTGAGACGGATGTCGAGGGGTTCGAGGTCATTGCGGTGAATTATGGGACGGATGCGTTCTCGTTAAAGATTCATGATCGTGAAGATGCGCGGAAGGTGAAGCGGTATTTGTATGGGCCCGGCCGGTTCGAGGTCACGCATGGGGAGAAGGAGGCGATCACCGTGCGGGAGCTGGAGGATGCGGTCGAGGGTTATAAGAGGTTGATTGCTGCTTCGTTGTGATCTCGTGGAGAATCATGTGCTGTGAGCATGTCCTGGTACACTTCTGGGTGTTCAGTCGAGGTTGGGTCACTTATGGATCATGCGACACTATTATTGGGGTCGATGATAAGGAAAAGTAAATCCACTCCAAAGCGCCTATATCCCTAGTAGCCCTGCCTGCGTAAGCAGCTTCATCACTGGTTCCAAGCATTCAACAATAGGTTCACCCCGAATAGCCCTAGAACGCCATCCTTATCGATACAAGACAGAAATATTATCAACCTCCTACCCCGCACTCCCCATAAAGCCTACCAGCGACCCTCTCGCCACGTTCCTGTAAGGCGTGCCTCCCTCCCCGCCCGCCACCAAGTGCTGGCCCCGGCTGGTGACGATCTCAATTCCAGCCACGCGCCACACTGCCCGGATAATACATTCCGTCATCATTTCGTCGGTCGCGAATGTCAGGATCTTGAGCTGGTCCCCGTCCTGTGGGTGGTTGTAGCGCTGTTTGCGCTCGTCGTTGAACCAGGTGACCCGCAAACCCTTGACCACCCATAATCCCGCTGAGTCGCCGCTCGCGCGGCCCTCCCAGGATTTCAGACTTTTCACAATCGCGGCGTCGTGGTCTGGATAGACGGAGAAAGGGGTTCCTGTGTTGCGGCCGTAGGTGTTGGTGCGGGGCATACTTGAGTTGGGGGCCAACGGTGTGTGGCTAACTGCATATCGTGGACTACGTATCAGCATCTTCATATTAACGGATGTGAAAATCATGTACTGCAAAGGAGCTGTTTCCGGGCACGGAAGAGGCATACTGCGTTGTCTGTTTATGAGCCCACGACCCCGCAATTATGCTGGCCCAGCTCGCCTCACTTTCTTGCTCTCGGTGTTTCATGCCATCATCCTTGTGGAAAGTACGTGTCAGCTGTCGAACAAACACAGCGTTGTCTTCCCGGTGATAATTTGGTTGTTTGTTGGTACTTGGTTGCTCTTGGCAGATAGTTGTTCTTCTTCCTGGCATGTTGGAATTAAGACCTTATAATTTGCGTAATTCGGATCTATTTGCTACAGTGAGCTTGGATTGTGACCAATATTATCTTGTCGCGGCGAACGTCCGGCAAGAATCGTACGGAAGATCAGATAACTTTACCGAGTTAGGGCTAGGCTGATGGGTCACTGAGGTTGAGAAGGCCAAGCTACCGATTCACAGATGAACTTATGTGTTACCGCATTCTATGTAGGGATAGAGGGACAATACCGGGACGTGGTGGCAAATTCGTTCCCTTCTCGATAGCACAATGAGACCAGAGAAGACTTTCATGGAATAGTGGCGGGGAGTCCCGATGCTGATAAGCATCCCCCAGTGACGAGGACCGGCTGCCAGTCTCGATGCCTAAGGCGTCAACAAAACAGATATCCAAGTGATTGGTGAGGCTAGCTTGGCGATGGCTTGTGCCCCAAGTATATATACCGGAGCTTAGTGAGATAGGCACAACCTATGCAGAGTGTGCGTTCGCTGCTGGAAAGTGGGGAGATCTTCTTAGTAGTGGTTAATTTATATGTCTCCCTGCGTAGAGCTTCGTGGCTGTCTAGAACATATTTATTGCCAGTGTGTTGATGCGAGAGAGGTCAAGAGGTATCACGGCGATCTTAGCACTGAGCCATATCCTCAGCTTTGGTTACATAATCACATGGCAAACCATGAATAGTACACAAACTTCCAAAGATAGACCAAGAAAGTGTTTACCGCTAATTTCTAGAGTGCTGTGGGAAGAAGGATCCGAAGTGCGCTCGGACGCTGTCTGCCGCAGATGCCGAAGGCTGGGTTAAGCGCCCGGGGTATTGCTGTCAACGCTATATCATGGCCCGAGCACATCAATTCCGAGGCTATCGTAGCCAGACCTGGTTCACCGATATCGTCCAAATCAGGAAGGCACACTCACCTGGATTGTAGTTGTGCGAGCATGGCGCCATTCAAGGACCCCGTTACCATTTACAACTTTGGAGTTATGGTCTGGTGTTATCTTGCGTGAGGTCAATCAAAATAGTCACATATTATGTAAGGCAACATAAATGGTATCATGTGCATCTTGCTACTGAGGTCTTTTTGGAAAGATGCGTTACCCTGCACAGGATTCTGGCTCAGATGAATCACGCTCAGAGACTACCCTGGCAACTCACTCACATGAGCTCGGGTTTCGAGCTCGCTCACATACGGACGCGCAGAAAGCTCGACAGGCCTCTGATACGATTTCGAGGGAAGCTCCTGGACAAAGCCTGGCTGATCTGAGGATGGACCGTGCCGCAAAGGTTGTCTTCTGCGCCGTCGAGAGCAGATGAAACAGAATAATCCCGCAACGGCGAGAAGGACCACCCCGAGGGTTACACCCACTCCAATCCCCACTTTGGCAACTGTCGAGAAACCAGTCGAAATATTCTTTGTTGCTTCTCGACGGGTTGTTGGTGGCTGTGATGGTTTCGTCACGGATGAGCGGGATTCCATCTTGAAACAGAACCGATGAGGAGGATATTGTGGTTTCAAGTGCGACAAAGTTGGTCACCAGGGTGATGACGTCTCCTGGAGAGACGGATGTCGCGCACGCATGCGTCCAATTATTGTAGAGGGTGAGACCGCTGAGACGGGGGAGACGAGGAAAGATTAGAATGACTAGGTCGCATGGTTTGATGAACCAGAATGAACAGGCTTCTGCTTACCTGGGGCAACACAGGACGCCATTACGACTCCCGGTGAGTGTCTCGCCTGCCCAGCCATCGGCTAAAGTCGCTGCTGTGTGCCAACTACTCGGACAGTAGTAGCCAGGGCTGCACATTCAACATGGCGGTCGGTGGTTAGGCAACACAATTCTAAGTATAATGAGCATACTGACAGTAATATGAGTACCAAAACTGAAACTGTGTGTACGAGGTGGCTGGAATGGTGCCTGTGGGATAGCAGGCCATGTCCCCTGACCACCAGTGTCCGTAATAAATTGTTCCCGCTGCTGCTCCTGCGCCGTCGTCGGCCGTATACATGGTCGCTGATTGACGGCATGTTATCGGAGGGGAGAATGTGTCTGTGTAAGGCCCCCTATTGTATGCCCCCGAGTATCCGGGAATGGAGACGGGTATCGATGTTCTTGTCGCGACCGTGGTTCCGTCATCGCCTGTAGCGCTCTTCATGTTCTGTTTTCACCTCTCTGAACCTTTCTAATGTGTTTGTTTCGGTGCTCGACTGACAGTGCAGGACAAAGCAAGCAAGATGACAGAATGTGGCAAGGATCGGAGGAAGAAGGCATCATGGAGGTTGATGTCCGATCGCATAGTGATAGCGTTGTGATTATATATGGTGCCAAAGCGATTGTAATGGCCATTTCAGATAGACGCCCTGGTGGATGCAGGTCAACTTAGTGCTTACCATTCATGGGACCCAGATTGTGCAATCGCCTCGAATTAAGTCATCTATTGGCCAAATAGCTTCCAGACTAGATATACTCGAACCTGTCGCTCAGCCGCGGCAAAGAGAAGGGCGCTTATCGATTACAATCGTATTCTTGGCACATCAGATACCCGCTCTCCGTCCATGAACACATGGCGACAGGTCAAAAGATTGACCAATGACGTGTGGAGTAGCCCTGGTTATAAGTGGCAGTATCCGCGAAGAAAGGTATTTCATATATGATCCATGATAGCATTATTGAGCCAGGGAAAAATGTAGGAGTCTGGGCTTCCGCACTGTACGACCATGTTCATGCCAAGATTGGCACTGCGTATCGGATGGATGATAAAGTTGGGTGACTGCCGTTATGATAATTTAGGCGACTTCCGTACGATGAGAGGGAGCACCCTATTCACCACGGGATTAACGCAAGAAAAGGCTGCGACGGGGACAACGTACGCAAGTTGGTGCCCGAGGCAGCAAGTCCCGTTATGCCTCAGGCAGGACTCTCCGAAACGGGCTAGTGCATATCCCCGCCGGCGCTGATGCAATGGGCGAGTGACGAAAACAGGATCGCTGGAGCTCAGTCAAACTTCTTCACCTTCTTCTCACGATTGCCAATTGCTTCAATCCACATCACAATGGCGTCCATCATCTCCCGCACTAGCTTCCGTGCTCTCACGGCTCTTCCCCGGGCCACCCCTCTCCCTCGTCTGTCGCTGTGTAGCCAGCTCCCTCGCATGCAGCCCCGCGTGCAGCCCCTCCCCCGCCGCTTCCTCACCACCATTCCCCAGGAGCAACCCCGTCTTCGCCTCGGATCGAAGGGTAAGTAACCCTCTCGCCATGAGTTGTTTCAATTGACCTACTCTGACCCATCGCAGCCCCCAATTTCAAGGCGCAGACCACCCATGGCGAGCTCGACTTCCACGAGTTCATCGGCAATAGCTGGGCCATCCTGTTCTCGCACCCGGCCGACTTCACTCCCGTGTGTACCACCGAGCTGGGCGCCTTCGCCAAGATGAAGGACGAGTTTGAGAAGAGAGATGTCAAGATGATCGGCCTGGTGCGTTACCACCCCCGTCTTTGCTCACCATGACCATTAAAATGACCACGCTAACCATCCACCTCACTCTCTAGAGCGCCAACGACCTCAGCTCCCACGACCAGTGGATCGATGACATCAACGAGGTGGCCAACACCCAGGTGCAGTTCCCCGTGATCGCCGACGCCGACCGAAAGGTGGCCTTCCTGTACGACATGATCGACCAGCGCGACCTGGACAACATCGCCGAGAAGGGGATCCCGTTCACGATCCGGTCGGTCTTCATCATCGACCCGGCCAAGACCATCCGGCTGATCATGTCGTACCCGGCGTCGACGGGCCGCAACTCGGCGGAGGTGCTGCGCGTGATCGACTCGCTGCAGACGGCGGACAAGAAGGGTATCGCGACCCCGATTGACTGGAACGTGGGCGACGATGTGATTGTGCCCCCCTCGGTGTCGACGGAGGACGCCAAGAAGAAGTTCGGCAACGTGCGGGAGCTGAAGCCGTACCTGCGCTACACCAAGGCCTGAGCGCTAAACCCACTGGGGCCGGACTCGGCTGAAACAGGGTAAAGACATAGGTTTCAGAGGTTAATGTAACATCACTGTAATCTAGACCAGATTTATACACGCGCAAGTTTCGGACATAATGTAATTCGGAACTAGAACTCAAGCCACGATGATGACTAAAGTACGAAGGGTCTGGGTCCCGTGATTGAGGAAGATAATCAGCCACAGCCTAACCTGATGCAGAAAGGTCAATTCCGCTATCTCCGCGCTAACCCGATCTAGCAGCATCAACACAAGGATGGCTGCTGGACCAATCACGGGGCTTGTCTTGCGCCGGTTTGTTTTGGTCGATGTGTTGTTTTTCTGGTTGTTGTGTTGATGGCCGGACGCCCCCAACTTTCTTTCCTCACAATCACCGTGCGGTTCCTGGCGATCCCGTCCAATCCTGTCCCTGGCTGGAGCTTACCTGAAACTAACATGCCTTGAATACTACCTAGTAGTTCTTGTATCTCGTTGGAATTTTGTTGTTGTTTGTGTCACCGACGATACTGAGACAGTCCTGACCTTCACAACTGTCAGCTGTGACCCGTGGTACCTCCAACTATCCATCCACAATATCCTATACGTTGGGGCTGACAGGGCAATCCTTCTTCCACAAATCTCCATTCCACTTCCATTCAATATAATCCCCCTACAATCAGCCGGGAGATCCGGACCTATCACTCCACTCCCCCTCCCCCCTAATTGTCGGGACATTCCCACCGGTCAGCCCACATTCCATCCAGATCCGCCGCCACACCCGATAGTCACCCCCGGCATTCCCTTGGCTTTTCCACAAAGGTGTCCATTCCCCGAACCAGACCGATAATACCAAAAAAGTCCGTGCTCAGTGCGGATGTCTCTCCACTCGGGCAGTCGGGATCGCCTGTCCCGCCGCTCCAGCAGCCCCAGCCGCGAGCCGCCGGAGGCTCCGGACTCCACCACCCCGAGCTACTACACCCTCTCCCCGCCCCCGCGCCTGGGCTACCGGGGAGAAGACAGCTACGTCTCCAGCCTGAGTCCCAGCCTTCCCGCCGACGTCCACTCGGAGGCACCGCGCCACTCCCCACAACGTCACGATTACAGTCCCCATGAATTTGACGACCATTCCTATTCCCTCGACCACGACCATCACGATTACGACCACCCCGACAATGCAGACCACCACCTGTCGGGGTCAACCTACGCATATGAACCGCACCAATTCCCCCAAGGGACCAACCCTAACTGGATCCCGCTGCGTCCGCATGTCCCCGCTGCGGACCAATTCGAGGCCGAGGCCGGCTCCCGCGGCCTGTCGGGGATGATGACCTTCACGGAGTCCGAGCGCGCGGCGGCAATGGCCCATCATGGTGACGATGAGCATGATGATGCGATCGGTGGGGATGTGTGTGCTCAGCGCATTCCGTCCCAGCCAAGGGAACGAGCCCCGTCCTCGTCGCTGGCGTTCTGGAAACGCAACTCCTCCCCGCCGGGCGGCCAGCGCCCGGACCGGGAGACTCGGCGCCAGCGACGGCGGGAGCGGCTGGCCGCTGCGTTCGGGAGACATGGGAACTCGAACCGGGACAGCGCGGCGCAGGAGCTGCTTAGTGGGGATGCGTTGGCGAAGCTGTTGGGTTCCACGGTCGGGGATGAGGATTGTTTGAGTCATCTGGGTGAAGGGTCGCGCGACGGGCGCGACGAAGCATCGGAGCAAGGGCACGGGCAGAGGCTGCGCAAGCGTCCCGTTATCGCTGAGCAGCCGATTATGCTGGCGCCCATCGCGTTGGATACGCCTAGGGCCGGGGCGCAGAGCAGGGTGGCGTCCGGAGCACAGTTGGAGCAGGGGATGGCGGAGGTGCGGCACCGCGGGGGTGGCTCTGGTGGGAATGGAGCAGACGGGGAGGCTGCGGAGGCGACAGACGGTATGCTCAGGAAGGAAGGGGACTGGGATGAGAGGAGTCGTGGGTCCAGGTCCACGGGCCGGGGAAGTGTGGCCAATCTTCCGTTCTGGAAGAAGTGGAGAGGCACGTTCATCTTCTTCGTGGTGCTGCTCGTGCTGGCGGCGATTGCTATCCCCGTGGGAATTATCATGGCGCGGAGGGCGGACAATGGCGGGAGTTCGTCAAGTTCGGACGACGATAAGCCCGCGAATTCTAACCTCGACGGAATCAGTCGCGATAGTATTCCGGTAGGTTTCTTGTAAGGAGGACCTGGGCTCGGGTGCTGACTTGTGTGTGGTAGGCCTACGCCCGAGGAACATACCTTGATCCGTTCACCTGGTACGATACAACGGGCTTCAACGTCACGTTCACGAATGCGACCGTGGGAGGATTGTCGATCATGGGACTGAATTCGACCTGGGATGATTCCGCCCAAGCGAACGAGAACGTCCCACCCTTAAACGAGTCATTCCCCTACGGCTCGCAGCCCATCCGCGGAGTCAATCTCGGAGGCTGGCTCTCCATCGAGCCCTTCATCGTTCCCTCGCTCTTCCAATCCTACTCCTCGAGCGAAGGCATCATCGACGAGTGGACCCTCTGCGAGCGCCTGGGCAGCGACGCCAACACCACGATCGAAAAACACTACGCCACCTTCATCACCGAGCAGGACTTCATCGACATCCGCGACGCGGGGCTCGACCACGTGCGCATGCAGTTCTCCTACTGGGCGGTGCGCACCTACGACGGCGACCCCTACGTCCCCAAGATCGCCTGGCGGTACCTGCTGCGCGCGATCGAGTACTGTCGCAAGTACGGACTGCGGGTGAATCTCGACCCGCATGGGATCCCCGGCAGCCAGAACGGGTGGAACCACAGCGGCCATCAGGGCAAGATCGGGTGGTTGAACGGGACGGACGGCGCCCTGAACCGCCAGCGCTCGCTCGACATGCACGACCAACTGTCGCAGTTCTTCGCCCAGGACCGGTATAAGAACGTCGTCACCATCTACGGGCTGGCCAACGAGCCGCTCATGCTGTCGCTGCCCGTGGCGGATGTGCTGAACTGGACCACGCAGGCGACGGAGCTCGTCCAGAAGAACGGGATCAAGGCGTGGGTGACGGTCCACGACGGGTTCTTGAATCTGGCCAAGTGGGACAGCATGCTCAAGACACGGCCCGACAATATGATGCTCGATACGCATCAGTACACCGTCTTCAATACGGGGGAGATCGTGCTGAACCATACCCGTCGCGTGGAGTTGATCTGCGAGAGCTGGTATAGTATGATCCAGGCGATTAATGTCACGAGTACCGGGTACGTGCCTCTCACCCTTTATCCCACTTGGAGATATGGGAATACAACTAATCTTGCGACGGATAACAGATGGGGCCCGACCATCTGCGGCGAATGGTCCCAGGCCGACACCGACTGCGCGCAGTACGTCAACAACGTCGGCAACGGCAACCGGTGGGAGGGCACCCTCGCCTCCACCGGCGACACGATGTACTGCCCCACCGCCTCGGAGGGCACCTGCTCCTGCACCCTGGCCAACACCTCCCCCGTGGGATATTCCGCCGGGTACAAGACCTTCCTGCAGACGTACGCGGAAGCGCAGATGTCCGCCTTCGAGACCGCCATGGGCTGGTTCTACTGGACGTGGGCGACCGAGTCGGCGGCGCAGTGGAGTTACCGCACCGCCTGGAAGAACGGCTACATGCCTGCAAAGGCGTACAGTCCGAAGTTCAAGTGCGGTGATGCAATCCCTAGCTTTGGGGATTTGCCTGAGTATTATTGAGGGGCTGTGCTCTTCTGGATGGGAGAGGGTTTCTGGAATGGTGTGATAGGGTATGCATAGATCTGTGGTGGACGTGGTGTTATAGCGACAAGTGTTATGTACATATAGGGATTGCTTTTGACCACGGCCTGGGTAGACGATAAATCACCTCCCTCTTTGACCACATTATCAAACGTATTGCACGGCCGTCAGGTGTACAATAATGACTACGTGAGGTTATCTGCCGAACTACCCAAGAACCACCGAGGTGGGCCGTCAGAAGGATTATCTGTGGACGTGAACAGCGTGACTGAAAATGATTCGGTTAGCACATGTCACGTAGAACTCTATACGACTGTTATCAGCTCGCTCGGGACTCCTAATGCAAGAAAGCCTGACGCTTAATTCCAACTCTCTGACCCTCTCAAGACTTCGTCTGCAGGTATGAACTCAGAAGCGCACGCATGCATGCGTCCTGCGTCGCTGCCAGGGCCTCTTCAACCTCCTGTCTCGATCGAACCGTTTTCAACAGTAGCTTCGCCACACTTTGATGATCCTCAGAGCCCTGTATCGCCGCCAGGACCAGAGCAGAATGCCCCTCTTTATCCCTCCGGCTGCTATCCACGCGAGGCTCCCGGAGGAGAACCCGGACGACATCGTCATCGCCAGCCCGCGCCGCAAGCATCAAGGGCGTATGGCCGAATCTATCAGCCGCTTCAGGATTGAGCATATCACCTTTCTCCAACAGCAACTTCACAATGCCCACATTCCCTGTGAGAGCCGCATTGGCAAACGGTGTCCGGCCATCTAAGTCCGGCCGATCCAGCTCGACGCCCGGCTGAGCCGCCAACAATCGAAACGTGCCTTCGTGGCCGTTGTGTGCCGCGGCGTCGAGCGCCGACGCGCCGACCAGCACGGCGACCTGCCCAGTCATTGCTCCCAGCAGTCGGTTGTCGACTGCGCCGGTGTCCGGGTCGCCTAAAATGCCGAAGTACCTCAAGAGCCGGAGATGCAGCTGGTGCGTCACCAGATCCACGGCTGCGCCATTCTCAATCAGCAGCCGGACGATGGACTCGTGGCCGTGTATCGCAGCCCACATGATCGGGGTCGAGTCGTCCTCGCCGCGTCGGTTGACATCAGCCTTGGGCCATGACAGGACCTTCCGTACGATATTTTCGTTCCCGCCGACAGCGGCATGTTTTAGAATCCCATGGCCGCTGCTGTCTATGACGTCTGTCTTGATATCCGGGTACGAAAGGAGGCGGAGGACGATCGCTTCGTGGCCCCTCGAGGCTGCCGTCGCTAGGTAGGTCATCCTGTATTCCTCAGGGTTCCGTCGGTTGATCAGCAAGTCCCCTTTCCACATCAGCTCCTCGACGACGTCCAGGTACCCTCGTTGTACGGCCATCAGCATTGGGGTTCGTCCGCGGTAATCATCTGCTTCGACGTCAACTATAGCGCGCTGCATCGCGAACCAATCGTCGTCGCCATCATCATCAACAGCAGCAGCAGCAGCAGCAGCCCTTTCCTGATCTTTCTCTGACAACCTCCACTTCTTCTCCCGCTCAATTTCCAGTTCTAGCAATTTTTTAACAACATCGGCATGCCCGCTACTCGCAGCAAGGAAGAGCGGCGTCTGATCGTTCTTGTTCCTGTCATCCGGCTTGAATCCCTCCTTCAAGCACCACTGCACGGCATCGCAGTGACCGTACTGTGCGGCGAAATGCAGCGCCGTGTTCCCGGTGTGCAAGCAGTCGTCCATGGTTTCGTCCTCGCCTACACTCTCGCGCCGAATGTGCTCGCACAGAAGGCCAAGGGCATCGAGGTTGCCGCCGATCGCCGCGCCGTGGAGGGTCAACCCAATCCAGCCTGCATCTTCTTCAAATTTAGGCCTCGCACCCTTGGCGATCAGAGTCTTCATGTCGTCGACTCGACACAGGATTCCCGCTGCCGTCAGCGCCATGGTCAATGGATCGCTCCACGCCCACTCCGCATCATCCTCCTCTTCTCCCTCGTCCTCCTCCAGCCCATCATCATCATCATCATCATCATCATCATCATCATCATCATCATCATCATCACCATCCTGGTCTTTCTCCACACCCTCCCTCTCCGGCTTCGTCCCAGCTATCCCCTGAAACATCGCCTTAGTAAGTCCCCCGAACGCGACCACCGCAGCCGCCATGCCCTCCGTGTACGTCTTGCGCAGCCTCTGAACCTCATCCCCATCCCCCTCCCCCTCCCGTAATGCATCAACCGCCGCATCCACGACCCCATTGACACGCTGCGCAAAATTCCTCGACACCTCATTCACCCGACGCCCCGCTCGACTCCGCTCCAAATGCCGGCTCAACAGTCTGCGGCAGAAGCGGATCGCCGGCGGCGTGGGCGGGTCACTCCGCTGCAGACACGCCGAGTCAAAGCTCTCGGTCAGAATCCGCGGATCCAGGAAATAATCCAGGATGATGTTGTTGAATTCCTCTGCCGTCATGAGTTCTCAGGTCGTTGGTTTACACCGAGTGGGGATGACATACTGCACACTAGCCTCAGCGCCAGAAAGTCCTTGACCTCGTCCACGGCCCGCGTGGAGGGCCAGTACTTGCCCCATTGGTTGGGCGGGGTGGATTGGAATATGACGTGGCGGATGAGTTCGGCTGGGAGGGTTGGGATGGCCATTTTATGTTGGGTGGTGGGGGTGTTGGTGGTTGAACATGAACACACGGGCTTTGAAATCTAATTTGAAATCTAATCAAGCACTCCGTCCTGTCCTGCCAAGCCACTGAAATTTGACTAGGAGATCCACTGTTTGCTGCCTCAGGCAGTGAGCTTTCTTGGAACGGCCCCCTCCCCGCAGCCAGCCAGAACCACAGCTTTCTATTCTGAACTAGGTATTCTCTTACTCGTTACCAACCTTCTACATCAATCATCGTCTGCACACAATGGGGCATGATATCATACAACATCTTGTCAAATCTGTTATGCTACTTTTTCCATGTCTTGTTCCCCAGTTTACTATCTGCGCGATTCGGCATTTGCCGCAGCGATCAGACAGATCTAGCCCGATCCATAGCTTGTTATCGCGGGTTTTGTGCAGCCATTGGCTTAGTAAGTAGGGTGTTTTGCCTCCCTCTGGTCAACGTGGATTTTACGACCAGCGTTCCACTTGACTCGTTCTGCTCGATGGAGGTTTGCTTACCAGGGGAGAGCCTGCGTGGTTACGAAAGCTGTACAGGCTCTGGGCACATTTGTATACAGTCATGTTCCCGTTTGTATGTATGTTAATAAGTACATGTACGTATTGCGTGCCACTCTTCCCACTGCAAACGAAAATAGGCCCCCCTGGAATGATAATCACGTCGACATTTATTGACGGCCGTGAATCCCCATTGAGCATACAGTGGCCTGCTGTGCGCAATCCTCTCCATTCTGTAGGGGATGAAAGACAAGCAGGGAGAAACCAAAAAAGCTCGATTATGGCAGCGAGCTCGTCAGTCTGGGCACGATTCTGATTTCAATCGAGGCTGGTACAGCATAAAGCATAAATCGACCCCCCTCTACGCTCCGCAGCCTCGCTCTTGTACCTTGGCAACGTCAACATCACCTCATGATAAAGATAAGAATCCTTACCTAGACACATGTTCGTTGTCTTCGTAGCCTTGTGTTGGGCAAGGGTTTCGTTCTCCAGCGGAACAACTACAGCAATAAAAGCACGTGATTTAGCGCGGGCGCCTACCAGGGCGATGGTGTTGTTTGCTTATCACAGCGCCGCGGATGGGAGTAATTTCTGCAAATTGGGTCAATCAAGTTGGAGCTAAAGCGGCCCTAACTAGAGGCTTGTATTATTGGCGCTCAGAGTTAGTGCAAACTTAGTGCCATGTCTTGTCTTGCCAGGGTACCATGTAAGCGAGTGGGAGTGTCTTTGATCAGTGAGACAAGTTCTGGTAAGGTTAAACTCATATTGGCTAAAGCTGTCACGGCTTGGCGCCTGGGCTAATTAAAGCAGCACCCACGTGCGAAGTAAGCCTGTAGGCATCCAGCCCAGACCCTGACTGACTGGTTTCCATGTCTCTCTCGCTCTCTCAAATATCACATCATACCCACGTTGCTCCGTCTGTCGCCCCACGTTACACTCTTCTTCCAAATGCTCACTCACTTTTATTTCCCGCTATTACTCACTTCTTGCTGGTCAACATGACTTCTTCTCGATATATGCGTTTTGTTCTTCTTACAGTCCCTGTCCTTTTCTTGATATTCCTTGTGTCTCGGAATTGGGATGCATTACCCCAACCATTCAGTCATAGCAAACCGGATGCCTCGTTAGGGTTATCTGAGCATCCTACGCCGCCACAAAGCAGCGGCAACGACAGTAACAACGACCACAACAACGACCATAGCACCAACAGCCAAACAGAACCGACCACTCTTCCTACCAATCCCCCCACCACCCTTCCCAACTCTCACCCCGACACCGTCAACGCCGCCATCGCCGGCATAACCGACAAAGTCTGGCACTCCTCCAAGACCCCCGAGCTGAGTGCCGACCAAACCGGCTGGATCAACAGCTGGCTCCTAAAGAACCCCGCCTTCCGCCACGAGCTCCTCACGGACGGTTCCGCCCTCACCTTCGTCCGCACCCGCTACGGCGCCACCCGCCCGGACATCGTCGAAGTGTACGAAAAGCTCCCCATCCCCATCCTCCGCGCCGACCTCCTCCGCTACCTGATCGTGCTGGCGGAAGGCGGCATCTGGAGCGATCTCGACGTCACCTGCGACACGGAGGTCGCCGCCTGGGTGCCCCCGGAGCACCAAACCTCCAACATCGACATGATCGTGGGGCTGGAGTTCGACTTCGGGTGGCGCGGCGCCGGCACCGAGGTGGCGTCGCAGTTCTGCAACTGGGTGTTCGCGGCGCGGCCGGGGTCCCGCAATCTGGCGGCGGTGGTGGACGCGGTGGTCGCCAAGTTGAAGGAGATCGCCGCCCTGAACGGGGTGGGCGTGGACCAGTTGACGCTGGAGATGTTGCCCGTCGACGTGGTGAATGTCACGGGCCCGAAGATCATGACCATTGCGCTGCTCGATGGGTTGAAAAGGTTGCTAGGAAGGGTGGTGGACGATCGGGATTTCCACGGTATCAAATCTCCGAAACTGGTCGGGGATTTGTTGATTATGCCGGGGAATGCGTTCGCGGCGGCGCAGAATGGGTTCCCCACCGATCAGAGTCCTGCGTTGGTGAGCCATCATTATGCCGGGTCATGGAAGCAGGCGGATGCGGAGGCTAAGGAGAGGAAAAAACAGCAGGAGCAGCAGCAGGGGTAGGATCTCCAAATGTGTATAATGAGATTAGGTCTTTGTATATGTAAATCTATGATATCCGAAATGCCAACATGGGAAGAATCTAAGAAACATCGCTCAGAGGATGACTTCCATCTACTCAATGTTATGATGCGTTGATCGCTACCCGCTGGCCTCAAGATGATGCATCGATGACCCGCTTGTAGAATCGTAGAATTTGACCTTGGCTAGAGCTTCAGAAAAGAAATTGATTTTTTATTCCAGATCGATCGGAGCCCATGTAGAATCATTAGCACTGCTTTTATAGACCTCACTCAACCGAGGAAAGGCAGCTCGTGTGCAGCTGAAATCAGCTGGCGGAGAGCATGATTGAAGTGACGTCATGATGCACAGCTCACTCTCACATCAGCTCGTATCTCCATCCGCTATCAACAAAGAAGAGTCGGTTATATAAGGCCTGTAATCCCTCCTCCTCTATGATTTTCATCGCCACTGAAGTTTTCTACTTCGAAACAAAATGTCCGTAAAAGTCCAAGCCGAGTCGGTTCTGTATGTAGTGGGCCTGGTGGGCATGCTAGGGACCTGGGGCCGTTCCGCGCTCGACGGCTCCACTGCGCTTCTGTTACGGGCGCTGGATGGCTCTAAGCCCTACATCCTTCCCGGAACGGAGGCCACTCTGCGCAGCACCTTCACTGGCATTCGCTACCCACTCGATTGCACTCTTTCAGTGCTAATTGCTTTCTGGTACGAGGCTGTCGATGGCTCTCACCCTGCTGCCTCAGCAGTGATTCTCTATTTCCTCGGACAGCTGTTGCCGTGCATTGCCATCGCCTACGTAAATGGTCTCCGGGGGCCGAAGCCGAGCCTTCTGAAGTATGTGCATCCCCCCGCTCTTATGTCTGTTGATGATGGTAACCGTCACAGAAGCTGACATCTATGGTCTGTAAATAAAGGCCGACCCTCTGGCTACTACTCTTCCAAGGCTGCACCATAGGCTCGACCGGCTTCCTATGGGCCCTGAACTACATCGCTACCTCTCCCACCGTCCGCCTCCCCAAGCAGACCAATCTCAACACCCTCCAGCATGCCTCCACCATTTCATCCTTCGCACCGCTGGTGAAACACCTCCTCTTTCCCGCCATCGTTCTCAGCTATCTTGTCCCCGCCGCCCTCATGACCCTTCCCGTGGCCAGAACAATCAGCAACAGCAGCAACTTCCACCAACTCGCCATCGTCGCCTGGAACATCTATCCCCTGCTGACACTCGCATCACTATACACCCTACGACCTTTCCTTAAGCTCATCGCCCCTGCGGATACCACCCAAACGACCCCAGCAACCTCCAAAAAGAACGAAGCACACATCCACGCCATCCGAGCAGCCACCATCCCCGCCCTCCTCTTCAGCACACTCATGCACATCTCTACCGTAGCTGTCTCTATCACCACCGTTCTCTTCCCGACTCTGTTCCAACCTGCCTACCGCAGGGAACTGCACCCGACCGCTATCTTCATCCCACCCTTGGCCATCGGCCCACAAGCCAAATCACCCGGCGACGGAGTGCGTGGGTTCTTGCTCTGGGACCAGGTAGCCGGGTACTCGACGGTCATGATTGTGGTGATGCTGGAACTGCGGAGTGCGTGGGCGGCGAAGGGGTGGGAGTTTCGCTGGCAGAGGATGATTCCTGTCGCGCTGGGAGGGTCGTTGTTGCTGGGTCCGGGGACTGTATGCTTGCTTGGGAGCTGGATGCGGGATGAAGTCTTGTTTGGGGGCTGGGGTCAGGAGTTTAAGCAGGTGAGGAAGGTGGGGTGAGAGATTGGGGTTTTTGGCGGGTGGATTGTTGTGGTTGTTGAACGAGATTGGAGAGAGACTGTCATATTACCGGATGGCTGGGGGTATTCGCGAGGATGTTGCTGATCAGTCCGGACAGCGACCGGCGGGATCGGGTTGGGCAGGGTAGAGGAATCAGCGTTGGGTCACGCATCTGACAAACGCTTACTCAATATGTCGATTATGTATGAGAGAGTGAGGGGGGTGTGCTTGGAAAATTAAAGGATTTGGAACAGTGAATGTATTATCTAGGGCAGATGCTGCTACCTGGTAAGCTTGTAGTCTCAGAGGGAACTTCACACTGGGAGGATGAGCAATGGAACTCGCTAGTAGTGCAAGGCTGAATCTCTCTAAGCTGGCTTGCTGTATCTGAAGTATTTTGATAGCAAATATCAGCCGAGTTTGATAGATACCGCAGAGATGGTGTTATTGTTGAATGAGCCGCCCTCGGCGTAAACCACGTTGGAGACGGCGGTGAATGTGGGGTTCGCGAATGGTGGGCAGGGGGTGCGGATGCGGGAGTCGATGAGTACGACTGCAGGGCCCGAGGTTCTCTTATGTCTATGTTTGATTGGGGAGGGTGTACCAGTCGGGTTAATGGACTTGGGTTGAGGAGAAAGGCTGGAGGTGACGGAGGGGCACTATGATGCTTGGTTTTGGCGGCATGCATTGCATGCGATCTCGGGTACGCAGTACATTAACATTATGGTCCTTCCCTCGTTGGCCAGATATTTTGCTACCCAGCGACACTACTTGAAAAAACTCCAAGTATTTCCCTCTTTCTAAGCACAGCAAAGAAAGCCCACGGGTACTCTTCATACTTATTTAGTTATCGCAGCCATGTTTGCTCTACTATGTCTTTCAATCATTAAGCCGAGTTTCCGGCGTTGGCTGGCCAGAGTTGGGAGCGATAAGATTGATAAGGATCCGGCTTGGCCGCGCATCCGATCCTTCCCCGAGCGATGGGGCAATTGATCTTCAAAGGTCCGATACTCTTCGATGAGATTTACCATTTATGCAAACCACGTCGAGATCGCAAGAATATCTTAGCACTGCCCCTATACCACTGACCGAGTCGCTCGGTGCATTCCGGATCGGATCGATCTGCTCGATCTGGCTTGGGCATTTGCACGAGACGGTCGGGCAAGATAAGCCTCGGAATTCGGAAGGAGATAAGATGGCCCGGAACCTGGAGACGAGGCGTGCGAACAGCGAAGCTTTAATCAGCTTGGGTGTGGGATTGAGTAGTGATACCATATACCTCCGTCAAAACAGACTTCCTCTGGCTGGGTCTCATTACACATTAATATAACCTAAGATTGAACTTGATCGGGCCTTTTATTCATACAGCCGGAGCGGATACCGTAAAATGAGTGCCAAAATTGCCTAAACAGGCAGTAAACGGGAGAGATTGAGCCACTTGGAGGCGGCATACATTATCTTTCATTGTGCGCATAACGGACAGCTAGCAAAGCAATACATTGAGACCCTACAACCGCCACAACCCAATCCGCGCGGGTGTTACAAGACAACCCGGAACCTCCTGCTCCGGAGTCCTTCGATTGCAGCCAAGCCCGAGAACCCGGGCCGCGGTGCGCAGCTCTCTATGGACCACCCTGTCACCCTTCGTCGCATTCCATACACGGGGACGTGCCCGCGACGAATGTCAATGTCAAGCACATCCGTCTTACCCGGCACGTTAAGCATCACCCTGAATAGGTGAAGCTTGTCAAAGTTAGTGGGGCTTGTCGTCACTCTCTTTTCCTAATGATCCTACCTCACGATGGGGGAAGACGGTGCCGAGTTCCCGTGGTGGATACTATATCACCAAACATTATTGTCCCAAGTTGCCATAGCAGGTGCAATGGGTGAGAAAGGTCCCACAACCACTCCGTTCCACGTCTCGAAATGGGACAAGCGGCTTCATGAGGTGAGAATGAGATCAGGACACCTACGTTGACATCAGTCCACACCTATATGTTGCCCCAGTATGGCGGGACCGGGACAGGCCAGGCGCCCTGAGTATCAAGGTCCTCAAGGGTACTTAAGGTGGTCTGGTCCTAGCTGCAACAGAGTCTGAGGGGCAGTTTCTCTGCAGACAAGACCATCCAAAGCGAACATCATGTCGAAGATCGAAGATCAAACTATCCTTATCACCGGAGCCTCTGGCTTCGTCGCAACGCACGTCCTCCGGGTCTTCCTCCAACGAGGCTACCGCGTGCGTGGTACCGTCCGCTCGGAGCAGACCGCCGAGAAAGTGCGTGAGATCTTTACGGAGTACGGGGACAAACTATCCTTCACAATTGTCAAGGATATCGCCCAACCGGGGGCGTTCGATGAAGCCGTCAAGAGCGTTCAAGGCGTGAGTTCCTCCAAACAACTGAGACATGCCCCATGGCATACACGCAGACACTCAGCAAGCAAGGCCCATGAGCTAACCCCTGAGCGATGGAAGATAATCCATACCGCCTCCCCCTTCGCGTTCAGCGTCCAAGACCAAGAACGCGACCTCCTCCAACCCGCCATCCAGGGCACCCTCCAGCTCCTCTCCGCCGCCCACCGCCACGCGCCCCAGGTGCAGCGCATCGTGCTCACCTCCTCCTTCGCCGCCATCGTCAACCTCCGCAAGGGCTACTGGCCCGAACACACCTACACCGAGGCCGACTGGAACCCGGAGACGTACGAGCAGGCCAAGACCGCCGACGGGCCCACGGCCTACTGCGCCTCGAAGGCGCTGGCCGAGAGAGCCGCGTGGGAGTTCGTGGAGCGCGAGAAGCCCAATTTTAGCCTGTCGACGATCTGTCCCCCGATGATCTACGGGCCGGTCGAGCACCACGTCGCGAGCATGGATCGCCTGAATGAGAGCGCCGCGGACGTGTACCGGCTCATGAATGGGAGTCTGAGCGAGATCCCCCCGACCGGGTTCCCGGCCTGGGTCGATGTGCGGGACGTGGCGGAGGCGCATCTGCGCGCGTTTGAGGTCGACGGGGCGGCTAATGAGCGGTTCTTTGTGGTTGCCGGCAATTTTGATTACGCGCAGGTGTGTGAGATTCTGAGGACCAAGGTCCCTGGGATTGATACGGCGAAGGTGCCTGAATGTAAGGCGGCGCGGGAGGTGCCCCAGGTGTATGGGGTGTCGAATGAGAAAGTGCGCACGCGGCTGGGGATCGAGTTCTATTCCTTGGAGGCGAGTATCAAGGATACGGCAGAGTCTTTGTTGAGACTCGAGAAGACGCTAGGGCAGTGATGGCGCCCGCGACTGAGGATCTTATGGCTATAGTATGGTACAATAATGACAAAGTGACTATGACTGTTTATTGGCTGCATTGGTTTGTCACTAGTTTCAAAAATAGTCAACGACCAGTCTAATATATACATATATATGTGACCATCCAATCGTGTTCATCATACAAAATGGACCACGAACTCGAAAAAGGTCTTCGCCATGCCGTTGAGGCTAAGGCTCCCGAAATCCGCCAGCGTCAGCGCAACTCGCCTTTCTTGACTTTAGTGGAGGCGATTACCCGGCGTCAAACTATCGTAGCGTATATTTGTGCTTTATTTCTGATGATTGAGTTCGGTAGTTTTGTGACTTACACTATCATGCGGCATGTCTATGGCGAGAGAGAGGCCCGGCTCCGGGAGGAGTGTGGTTATAGCCACGGGCATCTGCAGGCGCTCTGTGGCGGGCTTGCAGAGCGGCCGATGGACAACCAGTGCTATCGGCAAGAACGCACGGCGATTCTGCTGTCGGTGTACCTGGGGTGGCTCGGGATGGACCAATGGTGCGCGCACCATTGGGCGCTTGCGGTCTTCAAGATGTTGGCGCCGCAACTACTCTTATTCTGGTGGATGGCTGACTTCATTATGTGAACGGTCGGGGGGGTCTATAGCACGTCTAGTTGCCCTGGTGGTAGCGGATCGTGGAGATACTAAGGGGTCACTTTGTCGTGCCGTGATTGAACGGCAGACGGGGTACGCTTAGTACGGGAGAAAAGGCTTGATATGTGAGATTGGGCGGTTGGCAGTTGGTGATTTCAGACTCTTCTTTCCATTGTTATGTCTCTCAATGTATTGATTCTTCCTTTGTTGACACAAAAATTACTTTCCTTTGTGACTTTATATTTCTCGGCCGCATTTTCTTGGATTGCAAGACGTCCACCACCTAGCTTCTTGTTTTCTCCCATATCATGATGCATTTTGACATGACGATAGGTAGCTCTTACTATATTTTCCACCTCTTTCTTCATTTTCTGTTTTCTCTCTCTCTCTCTCGCTCCTTTCCAAATTCTGTGGGCGCGCGAATTGAGCCAGATAGGTCGAGATAGGGCAAGTCTTGGCACCGCAGTGACACCTCAGGCACCAAAGGAGCACAAGAAAAAATCTTTTCTTAGAACTCGCCCCCGTTCAAACCCTTGACTCGGTCGGTAGTCTATCAGGCACCAGCAGGCATCAGCAGGCACCCAGTGTCAAACCTTGGTCCGCTGCTAACCAAATCAGGGCTGCGGTTAGGACTAAATGGCACTAGGTCGGTGGCCAAGAGGCTCAATTGAGAAAATCCGGAACAAACCGTCCAACTTTACGAGGCTAGTCGAAGGAACTAGGCTGCATTGCGGATAGCCGTATAACTCAAACCCTGAAAGCGAGGCCGCTAACCTCTTTCCCCTGTCGCTTCTCGCCCCCGGCAATTTCCCACCAGCGATGAGTGCTTTTTCGTCAGGAAAGATGACAAGAGAGATGTCAGGGGAAAAACCATGAGAGGTCTCTATGTTCCGGCACTCTACCCTCTGTCAGAGGATAAAGGACGTGAGTGTGAGTTTGCAAGACGAACATGTGAACCCTGCTGAGACACATGGTCAAGATCTGATGCAGAAGTCATTTGAATCGCTTGACCCTGAAAACAAAGATGGTAAAGAGGGTCTTAGCGCCCTGACTAGAAGAGATAGACCCTTCACATCGTCCCTGCGTATGAAACCCGGCCAATAATAGCGAGTAGAATCGGCGGAGGAGCTAAAGCCAATTTCCCTTACTAGACTCGCTGTACGGCGTGACTCTACAGAGTTGAGCCTAGTGTGTTGTTCGACCCCTCGTATAATAAGGCCAGTGAGCGCCACACCCATTCTTCAATTTCTGCATGCTTCTTTAGCCATTTAGCCAATCTACACCGGCGACCATCAACGATGGCGTCCTCACATTCGTTTTTGTTGTTGCTGTCACTCCTTTGGATCCAGCTGTCGTCATTCGTTGCGGCAGCTCCCTGGATCGTTACTGCCTACTACCAAGAGAACGTCTATACCGGGTCCGACTACTACGAGACGTATACCACCACCGAGATCGAACAAATCACCCCCACGGTCACCTCCCTGCCACCAGCCAAGTCCACCATCACCTCAGTCGCCACCTATCGCGAGTATGGCGCTTACAATGAAGTCATCAACTCCAACTCCGATATCACTGTCATCCAAGAGCTGTACCCCACCGGCGTGGGGGCTGATTACTACGACTACCTCTACGACAATGAGGACGCCGCCGACAGCACCATGTTCGTGGTCAACCTGACCTTTACGGCGCCCACAGGCTGCTCCTCGCACTGGACCACGACAACCGCGGCCGAGATCTACCCGCCGGTCCGCGTGCAGAGCCTACTCCCCTTGACCGCGGTCTCCACCTCCCTGTCCGTCGACAACAGCCAGCCCTTCCAGCCCACCACCTACACCATCGACATCGTGTACGTCGACCCGACCCAGGTTCCCAGCAACTCCCTGAGTTCCCTCAGTCAGTACAACCAACCGAGCGAGCTCTACACCGGCGACGGCTGCTACCCCACCAGTACCAGCTCCTCCAGCTCGTACGGCAGCGGCTACTACAACGGGTACTACAACAACTGGGACGACGAGAACTACAACTGGTTCCTCGACCCCGACTACTTCGGGATCTCGCCGCTGGCGCTGACGCTGATTCTGACCCTCGGCTGGATCGGTCTGTTCCTGATCCTCGGCTTCATCGAGGCCTGGGTGCGCTTCCGCCGCCTGATGACCGGCTGGCAGACCCGGCGCGGCATCCCCGTCTTCTGGTCGCTGACCATCCTCCCTGTGACGCTGTTCCTGCTGTGCTGGTTCCGCAAGGGCTACCGGGCGCGCTCGCAGGCCGACGGCGAGGTCCTGAAGAAGCGCTGGAAGGCGATGGGCTTCGGGACGAAGCTCAAGCTCTTCTTCGTCTGGGGCTTCCGCTTCAAGTACCCGCCCATGCTGGGTCCGGCCCCGGCGCGCGTCAAGACCAGCAAGCAGCCCGAGAGGACCCCCGGTCCGCGCCTCCTCGAGCCCAGTCCTGCGTCCAGTGTGGCGCCGCAGTCGAGACAGGGGTCGACGGCTGAGGCCAGTGGCGCGTTGGCTGCCGCCCCCGCTGCCGCTGCTCCCGCTGCCACTGCCGGCCCGGAGATGGCGGAAACGTCGCACTCGACCCCGGTCGCACATCAGCCTCGGGAATCTTCTGCGCATTAAAATGCGCAGGATGAAGAGATTGGTCAGGCCCGCTAGTGTGCACACCGATTCAACCTCTGTGAGGGTGTGTTGTAATGTGGATAAGCGAGTTGAGCACCACCGAGGGTGAACCCCAAACCAACCACGTGACCTCCGCGTACCCTGATAATGGACCCCGTCATTCGTTTGCTTCTATTATACCCATGTTTCAGGAATAACCTTGTAATGTCTTAATGTATCTATCACGAGCATGAATAGACTTGTTGTAGAGTCATAGTTCGACTTTCGGTATGCATAGGAGAGACCTCCTCGCTTCGTGGCCCTGCAGGATGTGTTAAAGAACCCTGCCCCTCAGCCTTCGCCCTTAGAGCCATCTCTACTGCAGATCAGACTGGCGAACGTGTGGTGCTCTCGAGATTGATCTGATTCTCATTTGTTCCTTGACTAGCACACCTGCCATCTGTGTCCCGTGATCCTGGCGATCGATCTCGTTTACTAACAGATTCTTTCATAGCTGCTGCTCCGCAGGAGTGACAGGGCAACCGTTTCACGCCTCCCACTACAGGCATACATGATAGATTGTCTTCGGAGCATCGTATTTCTCGCCTGAATGAAGCCCTGACATGCCTATTATCCGAATGCTGGGACATCGATACCGCAACCACATGGTCAGCGAGCGGCGCGGATGGGGCACTTAAAAGGGACAGCCATTGAAAGCCTCAGGCTAAGCGACGAGCGTAGGGAGGGAGGGATGGCAAGAGCCGATCTTCACCGCCCGTGGGCAGGGGCAGCGGAAATTCCCGCCCGGCTAGTCTGCCAGGTGTCTTTCTTTGCCCACCTTCTTCAATGCAGGGGCCTGACGTCTCACCCGCTTAGGTGAATGCTGATCTAACAAGCTATTACCCCGAAAGCATGCTGGAAACGCTCAATCATAGTACTCAGACCGTCTTGGGAATACAACAATGGCTCAAATTACACTCCAGAAATTCAGCCTTACCTTACAGTTGCCCATGATGTCTGTCGCGGGGTGTTTCTGCTATACTTGACGATTTAGTAATAACGGGTTCACACATAGCTCGGTAAGGTGTCTCCATAGTGTTGGGATGACAGTTGGGCTGGTTGCACGCGACGAGCCGCACATGCAGACATGCCCAGAACTTTCCCCTCCATTCACATATTATCCAGCCTTGTCAGCCGCACCTCTGCAGCTTCGAAATACGAGCCCGCCACTGTTAGCTCATTTTTCTGGCATTTCACATATACACATTACCAGCAGAGATGCATGCACTCCTGTTAAGCTTCAGTGTTATTCTGGTCAATCTTTCTCGTACAAGTGCTAGATGGATGAATGAGGATCCAGATACCGAGACCTCTCAGAGGATCTCCAACAAACATAGCCAGTCATCAGATTAAGCGCGTGGTTGACGGAAGTAACACAACCGACAACAACACACTATCCTTCTCACTCACGCCTCAGCCTTGTCTCACCCGCAAACATCCCTGCACCAGCGCACCCGCTATTATGGATCTACTACACTATAAGACCTAACACCTTCCCACACTCCTCAGACAATCTCCTGAAATAAAACACATTCTTCTGACCCTTGCTCCAAACCCTACACACCCACACCCAGGTTCCATCTCTACTAACCAAAGTAACCAGCACAATGGCCGCCCCGCAAGCACCAGACCCCTCCACCCCCTCCACCCCCCAAACAACCCTCACCGCATTCTGGAACACATTCATCGCCAAAACCCCAGGCAAAGTCACCACCATTTTTCCCCAGAGCCTCTACGCGGATCTCCTCCCGTCGCAGCGGGAAAGCCCGGGCCAATCGTCCGCGCGCAATGCAGCGGAGAGCTACGAGGCGGCCGCCCGCCAGTGCCGGGCGGAGGTCCAGCGCATCGTGCGGGAGTGCCACCGCGTGAATGAGAAGTTCACGGACCCGGACTTCGACCTTGAGAATGATCGCGAGTTGGAGCTGTGGAACTGTCTGCGCGGGTTGGTGCGGGGGGGTAAATTTGGCGGGGAGGGGAGGGGTGTGGATATGGGTGTTGCACGAGGGAGAAATGGTGCTGCTGCACGAGGTAGGGGCAGAGTGGGGAGACAGGGGGTAAGGGGGTTGGGTACGAAGGCGGATGGCGACTGGCGGTCCAGCAGCAGCTCCCCCTCTTCCTCCGATGACAACACGGACGAGGAAGAGGGCATGCCCGGCTCCGTCCACCGCGTCGACTGGATCTTCGAGGACCCCCGGTTCACGATCGACGGGTACTCCAACACGGACATCAAGCAGGGCGCCAACGGCGACTGCTGGTGGCTGGCGGCGGTGGCGACGATCTGCAATCGGCCGGACCTGATGGAGCGGATCTGCCTGGCGCGCGACGAGGAGTGCGGCGTCTACGGCTTCGTCTTCTACCGCGACGGCGAGTGGGTGTCGACCGTGGTGGACGATAACCTGTACCTGGCGCACGAGGACTTTGACTTCTACGGCGATCGCTACGACAGCACCGGCCGGCTGGCCCGGCAGTACCGCAAGCGGCACCAGACGGGCTCCGAGGCGCTGTATTTCGCCAAGTGCTCCGACGCCAATGAGACCTGGCTGCCCTTGCTGGAGAAGGCGTATGCCAAGGTGCATGGCGACTACGAGGCGCTCTCCGGCGGTTGGTCCGGCGAGGCGGTCGAGGATATGACGGGCGGCGTGACGACGACGATCGCGACGAACAAGGTGCTCAACAAGAATACCCTGTGGAGGGAGTTGGTGAATGCGGAGCGGGATTTTGTGTTTGCTGCGTCGGCGCTGGGGTCGGGCAGAGACTGGACGCGCGGGGGGCTGGCGCTGGGGCATGCGTACTCCATTCTCCGGGCGACGGAGGAGGAGGACGAGGATGGGAAGAAGGTGCGGCTGGTGCTCGTCAGGAACCCCTGGGGCGAGAGGAATACCGGCGGGGTCGGGGAGTGGAATGGTCCCTGGAGCGATGGCTCGCGCGAGTGGACCCCCTACTGGCTCCAGAAACTGCAGCATCGATTCGGAGACGACGGCATGTTCTGGATGGCCTATGAGGATCTGCTCTCGACGTTCGTGTTTCTGCACCGGACGCGCATCTTCGACGAGACGTGGACAGTGGTCCAGCGGTGGACGAGCGTCAGCGTCCCGTGGATTGAAGGGTATCTTCGAACCAAGTTCGTGGTCGAGATCAGGGCAGCTGGCCCTGTGGTTTTCGTTCTCTCTGAGGTGTGCTAAATCTCCGTTTTCTCGCATCGACATCATAATGGCTATGTAAGCAGAGGCTCAATTGTTCGCAGGTTGATAAGCGCTATATGAGAGGCCTTGAAGGCCAGTACGACTTTGCGCTGCACTTCCTCCTTCAGGAGGAGAATGCGAAACCCGGAGAGCACCTGTTGCTTGTCCGGCCGGTTCAGTGCCGGGGCAATCGCTCGATCAGTGCGGAGGTTAAGCTTGAGCCTGGCAGATACGAGGTTCTTATCAAGCTTCTCGCAACCAGAGACTCTGACCAGAAGAACGTGGAAGATGTGGTGAAGGAGTGGGTGGAGAAGAATCCCCAGAAGCTGAAACAAGTTGCCATGAATTACGACCTGGCGAATGCTAAAGTTCAATCTGTAAAGCAGATTGAAGCTCAGAGCATTAAAGCCTCAAACGCGACCGGTGAGACTGCAAAGGAAGAAGCTAGCAAGAGTGAGGCTGGCCAGGGTGACAAGGTTCAGGATGAGATTGGCACAGATGGAGCTGGCAAAGATAAGTCTGAACTTACTGAATCTACAAACGATGAGCCTGCAAACGATCAGTATGTAAAGAAGGCAGACGATGAAAAAGCAGAAAACAGTCTGTATGACTCCAGCAAAGAGGAGAATTGCAAGAGAGAAGGTCACGCTGCAGAGCCTTCACCTGCAGTGCTTCCAGCACCCGGTTCATCAAGAAGGGTTCATGAGGAGAAGGGCAAAGACGTTGAAAAGTATCACGAAGACAATGTGCAAGAAGATACAAAGCACCTTGACAAGCAGGATGAAGACAATAGGGATAATGAGAAGAAGCATGATGGCAAACGGGATGAAGACAACCAGCATGATGACAAGAAACACCATGACAAGAAGGATGTTGACAAGAAAGACGACAAACAAGACGATGACAAGAAAGACGACAAACAAGACGATGACAAGAAAGACCAAGATAAGGAAGAAGCAACTCCGCATGAGCAGGCAGTTGATACAGATGGAAGCTCACCATCGCCATGGAATGCAATCTGCGTGCTTGGCTTGCGGGTCTATGCCCGTGATCCTCAAGTTAGCATCGAGCTTGTGAGGTAGCATTTTCGCAAGTTCTAGATAGGACTAAATCATATACTTCGCGCTTTCGCTTGATTTGTTCCCGCTGGTGGAAAGACCACAATCACCTCATTTGCATAACACTGGCTTTGTGGGGGTCATCCAGGTCTGAGAACATATGACATTCACGTGTAGGTCTCATTCACAACGGTCCCCTTTGAAAATAGAGCGGGTCGATCAAGCCGTACAAACACAGCTTGAGCACCCTAATTCTCCGCAGTAGTTGTTAAATGCAGCGACATGTCTTCTTTCAATACTTTCGAGCTTTTCGCTTCCTTTGTGAATGGATGAGGGGATTTTTCAGTGCAGCCACTATTATTCTTTCTTGTTAACAGTGCCTCTTTTCAATGTCCCGGAGATACTCTCGATCTAGCTGTCGCAGAAACAGATAAATAATGCCTACCTTCTACATGTAAGAGCAGTTCTTTGTCACCACCACTATCTTTCCCACGACACTTGTCCCCAGTATCGATAAGGAGCAACAGACAGACTATCCCTCACACGATGTCCGACATGAAACGAGAACCATCCTCTCCGGGCCTAAAGCCAGCCCAGAGTCAGGTAAGGGAGACTGACGTGGACAGGACCGGCAACATCAGCGGGCTCCGATACCTCACCTGTCGCGGTGGGGACCCCGAGCCACGGGCGGGCATTATCGGCGGCATCCTCCAGCTGGAGGGCAAATGGTTTGGATTGACGGTGCTCAGCCCCTTCCTGGAAGACCATTTCTGTGGCGTCGGTACGCAGCCCTTCTGGCACACCACCCCCTACGACGCGGAGATCAAGTCGACCGAGATCTACGGCGCCCGCGAGCCCCACGCCCTCTGGGGGCGCATCCCTCCGGATCCCGAGACGCTGCAGCCCCAGAAGCGATACTTCTCCCGGATCGGAAACTGGGCCCTCATGGAGCTGGTGAACCAGGAGCTCGCGGAGACCTGCGTGCCCGGTCCGGACGCGAGTTGGGTGCTGCTCCCCACCATCATGGACAAGGATAAGCCCGTGCCGCGCTGGCAGCTGATGATCCCGGACCGGGAGCTTCCCCCCAGCGATGAGCCGTTGGACATTGTGAAGCCCTGTGCGCAGTGTCAGGGCACGGCGGATCTGTGCTACCACTATGCTTTCAAGTCGGACGGCTTCCTCTCGGAGTGGGGAGCGTGGGTCATCGAGGAGCCGCATCTCAGCGTCGTCGGCATCGTTCACTTTTCGGATCGTTTCACAATCCAAGCCATCCCGGCCTGGTGGACATTCAACGAGCTCAAGCAGCGCTTTCCGGCCCTCAAACCACCCTTGATTTGTTGTGCATTCCCGAACGACAATGATTTCCTAGGCAGTGGGTACGACACCGACAACGATCTAGTCACAAAAGACACGGACGACATTCCAGCCAAAAAAGAAGAACTCCCATCGGTTTGACCCATCTAGGAATCTAGGAATCCTTTCTGACCTCATATCGTCTTTGCAGTCAATTAAAGCAGTTTCCCTATCATTCTATGCCCTCTAGTCTTCTTCAATACAACCTGTCAATCGATTGGAAGAGGCCTTCTTCGTACTGGTCCTGATCTAATTCCTTGTTTCGTCTCCTCTCATATGACGATTCTCCTGGATCACATTGACAGCTACGCCGCTGAACAGCGACATCAGGCTTAGTAATAGTATGTAGCGCAGCTGATTATCTTACTCGCTTGGCCTCAACCCACGGCTGGAACAGGCGGCTCTAGTTTACACCTGGCATAGGTTGTTCGGCCTTGGAGTCTACTGGGTTAGCGGCGACGTTCCAAAGACCCAATCCCCGTTCAATGAGTGATTGCAGCCATAGAGAGCGGTTAATAATCTCAACTTACTTTCGAAAATCCCACCGAAGACTTGCAATAGCCCAATTCGCCATCGACTGAAGTCATCGTTCCATACATAATCCGATACAGCAAAGACTCTCGTGACAGAAACACATTGAACCGAGACAATAGTTTCCTGGCCCACGAAAAGATCCCCCAACAAACAGAGAGCAAAGAGCCCTTATGGTAATGCATTCCCCTCAGTGACAGTCCCTCTGGCGTACACGACTCTGTCGCCCACGAAGCTCGCGCAGACATCCTACGATACAGTAAACAGCTGCGAGTTCACCGCAACAGTCTGACCGGACTGAACCGCCCCCTCCGATAGAACCGAAAAGTTGATGTTCCTGTTGAAGACCAGACAATGCGTGCTGCCGCCGAAATGGAACATCCCAATCTGATCCCCCTTGCTCACCTCGTCGCCGGCCCGCACCGTCGGCTCGCAGGAGCCGCGCTCGCGCATGCCGGCGAAGACGCACGCGACGGGGCCCAGCTTGGCGTTGTCGATCACGATGACGCACCGGGTGGCCTCGTGCAGCGCTGCGCCGACCTCATTCTCGATCACGGCCGTGACGGGGCTGGCGTCGAAGGCGGCGTTCATCCCGGAGTTGAAGAACGTGCCCGCGATGACCTGCATGGTACTGATGGTGCCGGAGACGGGCGCGTGCCAGCGGTGGTAGTTGGTCGGGTTCAGGGCGCCCTGGTAGAGCCGGCCGCCGCCGAACTTCCCCGCGAGCTCCTGGTCGCCGAACATCGTGCTGAGCGAGTACTTGTGATCCTTGATGTTGAAGGTGTCGGAGAGCTGCACGTCCGGCTGGAAGACGACCTGCGTCGACTCGCAGGCGGCCGTGATGATATTGTCGTCGTCGGGCGCCGCGACGGGCCGCGCGCTCGCCCGGAACTCGCGCGTGAAGAACTGGTCCCAGGACTGGAAGCCGTAGTGCGGGGCCTCGGGATCGCACTGGTAGTCCTGGAACATGGTCGTGCGTTCCTCGTCGGAGAGGGCCGCCCGGCTGAACCACCCGCCGTCGTCGTCGGTGAGGACGCTGGCGGACTCCGGGGATTTCAGGTAGACCGTCCACTCTTTGAGCAGAGACTGCAGGACCTTGTCCACTCGCGCGTCCCGGAAGAATTCCTGCCCCGCGGCGGTCTTGAGGTAGGGTTCCAGCAGGTTGGTCAGGATTCCCATGCTGCCTCCGAGGGAGTTCTTGGCCGCAGAGGCGTCGTAGGCAGGAGCAGTCCGCGTGATCTTGTCCAGGTTCACCAGGAACCCGGCCAGGTTCTGCGTCACGCTCAGGGGATCGGAGCCAGCCTGGATGAACATGGCGGTGGCATTCTTGAGCAGGGTCGGATCATTTTGGATTAGGGCTCGGAAGTCTTTGACGGTCCCGGAGGTCAACTGCCCCAGATCGGGCAGGGTCACTTTGGGAAGGGTGGCTGTAGACTTCAAGAAATCCATTTTGTTAGAGAAAGTAGTCTTGGGGGTGCTCTGTGCAGGGCAATCTCTGAAGATGATGTCCGACCTCAGCTCAGGAAACCCCTTGGGCTTAAGTAGTATGCGACCGAGAGGAGGTGCTGCAGCTGCAGATGCCTCTGCTGTCACCATGACACGCACCTACGCTGTGATCTAGGGAATGCTGCAGCCATTGGAAGACCGATCGACAGCTGAAAACTCAAAGGGCTGACCGGTCCGACCCTAGTCTGATGTCTATTGGGTCGTGGATATTGGATGCCCTGTGCGTACTAAGTCTCTGGTTGGGGGCAGGTTGATCTATAGACCCCTGTCACACAGTGGATCTTGGTCGGAGCTGCCACCGGTTTCAGTCCATCATTGCTTTTTTGGTCTTTCAGCCCACGAACCCCTCACTTGCAATCCTGGAGCATGAAACCAGGTATGGTGATTATAGTTGGTGGAACGGTGGATTTGCGGGTTGCTTTATGTCACCGTGCATCGGAGTGGGCTGATCTAGATCTGCAGCTAAATGCCGCGGTCACACGGCTTGCGACCCATTCTGCACGATCTACAAGTGGAGACGCCCGGGTGGGCTTAGACTTCCCTACCAGCGAACAACTCCAGCGTCTATTATCAGCTGCTTCCATGGAATGCTGCGTGGGAAACCTGCCAGTCGAGCTTTCTGGGTCCAGAAACTGGAGGGGGGCCACTTCGCCAACTGGCTGCCTGCTCTGCGCCCGCCGCCACCTTGGATCTAGGGAACAAGTCGTACAGCAGTATGTGCAACTCTCGACTCTTTCTGGTAACAGCTTCAACATGGTTGATGTCTCTAGACAGATCTATCATACTGCATGGGTATATATTTATTGAGAGTGAGTAAGCACTGCTGCACGTGACGTCCAGGCTGCTAAGCATGGAGAGTGATGTCAATGGTGGTTGGGGCGATCGCAGGAAGCTGTGGAACATCCACCGGACCCAGATGCATGTATTAACAATATTGGCTCTGTTTGCCCTCCTCCTAAGCTTTCTTCTGAACTTGTCGACAATGGTAACTTTCAAATTTGAAGAATGTCATAGATTGTTATCTTTGAGGTTCTAGCCTCGTTTCGTAGTCATAGAGCCTTTGCCGTCTAAGATTTCAACCCGTGAGCCAAGAGCAATCAAAGGATATACTTATCTTCAGCGTGTATCCAGCTCGGACCTCGAAACGACTCCCTCCGGCATCAAGGCCACGCACTAAACTAGATGAGTGTTCTCACAGCAAGAGTGCAAATGCCAGATCAGATAATCGACTAGAATGAGACTAGAATGAGATAAGGCTGTTCATAAGTTGTGAAATAGAACCGGCTCGATGACCGCGTGGATTCTGAATACGGAGATAAGATAGACAAACACCCCGCCAAGCCGGAGGGGCTCACCGCCCCATCCGAGCAGAGATCCATTTTCCCAAAACGGTAATGGTAATGAATGCATTTCAATCTTGTGCACGCTAAGTAAAAGACAATGAGAAGATAACTCCAGCTGACTACTGGTACAAGCACTGAACAGTCTTGGCGTTGCTGAACCAGTATCCCGGCCACTTCTCGCCGCTGCCCATCTGCCAGGTCGTCAAGTCGGCAATGCCGGGGCTCACGAAGCCGCCCGAGTTGAAGTTGCCCGTCGTCATGTAGCAGTTGCCCGGCTCGACGAACATGGAGCAGACCAGGCCTGAACAACATTAGTTTATATCCTCGCTGGCTGGAGCACGCTCGTCACTCACCCTCATCCGGACCGATCGAGCCCAGGGTATCCCAGAAGCTGATGTCCATGCACTCGCCATTGTCGAAGCCGAACAGAGTGCAGGGGCCCGTCCAGTTGCTGTGCGAGAGGTATTAGTGTTATGTTCGACGTGGATGGGGTGCAGTCAACGTACGGTCCAGGGCACATGTAAACGTTTCTCTTGGCAGCGGCAACGCCAGCGAGGACGGCCATGGTGGCGAGGGAAAGGAGCTGCATGGTGATAGAGGTAGGTATGCTCTTGACGACTGAGTAGAGATTGAGAATGCGATGTGAAGGATGAGCAGAGACGAGCAACCCCAGTGCGCTTTATAGATTTTTCTGCCCGGTCAAGTTGTCAGACGGCGACAGACGAGAGGAATTGAGTCTCGTATGATTGATTGTGACCGAAACATATCCAATCGCTCACGATATGGCGCATCATTAGACGACTCGACATACGAGCTTGAAGCATAGAATGGAGATGATAATGAGACTAGAGCCCCGGATACGAACAATAGCGGCGGGACTGTCATTTCGGGGTCCAGCTCAGTTGCTGTTTAGGGTCTAGCGGGAGTTTTAGTACCGGCTATTTGTCCCCGCCGCATTGCCCGTCTCTCTCGCTTCCATGCCTCATTCGTGGATTTCCGAGGGGGCGAAGACGAGGTTGAAAAAGGGTCTCATCTATCGGATCTCCCCACTTGTTGTTTTCTTCAGGCGCGTGACTTTTTTTAATCTGGGGCAGCTATGTTCTCTTCTAATCGATTTCCTAGCTCCTTTCCCCCCAGGACAATGGTGAGTTAAACACCTAAGTCGGGTGTCTGAATCGAGGTGTGCCAGGGCTAGAAAATTGTTGATCTCCGTGCTGTTGTAAGTCTTACTGCTTGAATCAATCAGAAACCTATCAGTGAAGTAGGTTGTCCAAACTGATATGAGAAAGCTGGGATGAAGGCAAATCGCATACGCGATACCGTCAGCACTAGTGGACGGCGGACTTGGCAGCCTAAATTCTCCACGCTAGAAAATATCATCATGCTATGCTTGCCAAGGGAAAAAGCGATCCACCTGGCCCAGCTTGCGGAATTGATGAGAAGCAAGACGAGTTGAGAGTTACAGGGTGACTTACAATAAGAGGTATCTTATTCTGTAGTCTCGTTGGCATTGGCTGTCTTCACAGATCATCCGCGGGACCAATGTCATGGACAGGGCAATACGCTGTTAAACAAAGCCGACTTCTTGTATTTCACCTATTTTCGAACTATAGCAGTGTTTGCTGGCCAGATCAACAGAACGTTTGAAGATTGAACCACAAAAAGTGATCATACAATTGAAGATCTAAAATGCGAGCTGATAGAAAAGGTGGCGTAAGGCGCTAGTGAGTACCTCAGTAAGAAGCAATGGTCCAAATCTACGAGTTGTTGCTTGCTGCTATGCTGAACAGGATGCATGTCATTTCGGTTCTGTCTTCTGTTGAATTTGGTGAGTTGCTCGTTGCGCCGCGCCAGGGCATCTCCATTGGATATAACCTCCCACGTTATGCTGCAACCTTTTTCCTTCGCACCCGCAGCTTCGCCTTTGGATTTGTGACATATTCTACGAACCAGGGGGTCGCGTCCTTCTCCGTATCCACCCGTTCAAATTCATAGTTCTGGAGCACGTGGTTGAGCAGAAGCTTAATTTTGCTTGAGGCGAAAAACCTTCCGGGGCAGGCGTGACTCCCGATGCCGAACCCGAGACTTTCCATCGTGGTCGTGACGAACTGCGACGAGTGCTCCTTCCCGGGCTCCTCACGCAGCTTCAGGTATCGGTCGGGCTGCCATTCTTCGGGGTTCGGGTAGTATTCCGGGTCCCACATGCGCGACATGTTGGTGGCGACGATGGCGCCTTTCGGAATGAGTGTGCCATCGGGCAGCACCACATCGTCACTGACATGGCGGTGGGATAGAACTAACGTCTGTTAATCCCCCGCTCTTAGGCTGCTCGGAAGGGGAGAGAGGGAAGACTTACGGACACCCAGGGGCTTGATGCGCTGTGTCTCCTTCATGACGCTGTCGGCGAGCTTCATCCGATAGAGCGACGTCTTCTCCCACGCACCGTCTGTACGGACTGATTGTGCTTCCTGGAGCAGTGGTTCAATCCACTCCGGGTGCCGACAGAGCTGGAGGAGGATATTGGAAAAGAGATCCGATGTTGTGTGCACCGATGCCATGCTAAGGGACAGTTGAATGTGCGCTCCGTGGTATTCCTTGCCCTTGCCCGTGGCGACTTCGTGCATCCATGTGATAGCATCGTTAGGCATCTCGGCGAGACCCTTCTGGGCTAGGGAAATCTCTTCGATCCGCTTGGCGATGACGGGTTCGATGATTTCTTCGGCGCGCTTGACCTGTCGGCGGATATTGGCGCAGTCCGACAAGAACCATTGGACATAGGGACGAGACCATGCGGGAAAGCGGCGGATCGATCGCACGGCTTTGAAGACATTATCCGTGTATGCTTGGGTATTATCCAGCCATTCTTTGTTCTTGCAGAGTTCGGGTCCCAGGAAGATGCGCGTTGACACCTGTGTGACGATGTCGCGGAGACTGGCCAACAGGTCGACCTCGTGCCATTCTAGTCCCCTTATCAGTCACGCATGCTATGCATTGCGCCATGTGGTGACTTACCAGTGCTTGTTCCCCACCTCTCATCGAAAGCCTCTTGGGTCTCTTCTGCGAGGTTCTGAGTGAACTTGCCTGCAAGAGAACGTCAGTGTCGTACGCCCACCGGTGGTCTCACAATAGCAATATACCAAGGTTTGAGGTCAATTTCGAGCGAATCATCTGAATGAACACATTGGGCGCGCCGGCTTCCATGACTGGCAGCAAGCCCTCAAAACCAGGCAGGGAGCCGGCCATGGTTTGCCTTACCACCTCACTGGCAGTGAAGCGAGGATCCGTTTTGACATGCTCACCCATTTCCGGAGGAAGAACAATCCTCCTTCCAAAGGAGCCGATAAGCTGGAATGGACCATTGTACTGGTGCTGTTGGTCAATAATTTGGTTTGGCAACCCTTGAACGAGCTGCGAGCCTACCTTCTCATATCCCTCTTGAAGAATTGCTTGGGCATTGTGGGCGCATCGTTTCACGGCATTGGCATCGGACCATTCGCCTTTTTTCTTGTTTATCACGGGAAACTGAGAGGTTTTCCATCGGAGTCTCAGCGACGGGAGAGCGACACTCAGGAAGTAGGACAGGAGCACAGCAGGCAAAGCTGTTAGGAAGATTAGTCCGATATTCTCTCGGAACATGATGGCTGCTGTTTTACACAACACCAGGGGTTAGAATCGGTTTTGGGCTGCCTGGTTCCGAAATTCAGCCACATGGATTATCTTATATAACGGGCGATTCGTGCTCATTCAACCGAGCCGGACACCTGGGAGATTGTTCGTAATCCGAAGGTGGAACGATCCGAGCATTAATTACCATCGGCTTTTCCTCTTTGGTTATATCTTACACGGGTGGTGGGCTTTCATAAAATATTCATAGATACTATCTGGTCCACTCACAAACTGGAATGCCATTCACTCTTCGGCTTGGAATTTCGGTGTTTAGCGTTCGGTGTTTCAGACCTGTACCGAATCCGATGCCCACCGTTGACTAACACACGCTAAAACATTGGATACCACCATACTCAGAAAGGTGAAGGTGATTTATTCCTGTGCTTAACTAACACTGTGAATTTATTCGAGCCCGCCGAAGCTGGCTGCGAGACCTTGCTGACTTGAGACCAGACTCTTCTGGCTTCGAGGCCCTTTTCAAGGGCATGCTTCCGGAGGTGATGGCAAAGGGCTTTAGAAACGTTTTCCCTTGGGCTTGCAGACAGCGGAGGTTCATTATGTGTAGTCTCATCTCAAGGTATATGAGTATATGGATGTGAAGGACAGAGAGGCCCTACATATCGCTGAAAATGTTGATTTCACATCACAACCTGGTAGGCTGGTACAGATTACCATTGGACGAGATGCGCTAGATACACAGAAAGACGAGATGCAGTGCCCTGCAGACCCTCACTAACATTCGTGCGTAGTCGCATCGACCGATCCAACCAGTCAGTGCGGGCGTTTATCGACTTGTCTCATTAAGTGCAATAGATGGTACATTCTAACCTCCACAATACCCGCTCCCCGTCCAGGTGAGTGGCTTCTCTGGGTATCGTTTCCATTTCTTTGCCCTTTCGGCCTTTTCGCTCTATTTTCAAGTGGTGAAAATGAACAAGATCTATACTGATAGCTATAGTGGACAATGGATTGCCTCATAACGCCATTAATTTATCATCTCTATTCTCTGTCCAAGTCCTCCCAGACTATATCCTTGACCCCCATGTTGAATTGAGCAATACCGTGCGATGCCTCCGATCCCTGCGCTAACATGGTTGCAAAAACCTCGCCGGCCATTTGGTCTATGGCGGCATCATGGCCACTCACGGCCTCCCCAACCAACAATTTACATAGTGCAGCAGCTTGAGGAGCCGCAAGCTTCAGGTCATTCAAAAACCCCTCCACCACCTTCTCCAGATCATCAAGATCAACCGCAAGAGCATGTATGAGTCCTGCATCGTACAGCACCTGCGATCTCACTCTCCGGCCAGTAAGCATCGCCATTCTCGCGAGACTGCTTCCCCACTCGCGGACCAGGAATTTCGATATCGTTGCGGGACACAAGCCAAGCTTGACTTCGCTCAAGCAAAAGAATGCAGTGGATACGGCTATGCGTACATCGCAGACGGTAGCCAGGCCAACACCTCCGCCATAGGCGGGGCCGTTGATGACTGCCATCGTGGTTTTGGGACAAGTATCGATAGTGGAAAAGAGTTCTTGAAGCGCATTGCACCGCTCCGCAACTGAGACAAAGAGGTCTTCCTTCAGGTGCATGCCCGTGCAAAAGTAGCGGCCACGACCCGTAATAATGATTCGGTGCACAGAGTTGTCCTTTGAGAGACGCTTGAATAACGAGGTCATCTCCTTGATCATGGTAAATGTTAAAGAGTTGCCATGACAAGGTCGATCCAGACACAGTCGCACTGTGCCGCCGTTACGGGACACCTGGTATTCCTCATGGTTCTGCACTGTTGCCCAGACCTTCGTGACCTGCTCATCCTTGCCAGTGCTTGCCCAAAGCTTCGTGGTGAGCTCGTCATTGCTAGTGCTGAAAAAGTTCCAAAAAGGCCTAGATGGTATCGTCGCAATGAGGTTCTCGTCGAGCAGAAGAATTGCGTGTAGACTTACAGTTTGAAATATTGCATCATTGAGAGGTTTGTAGATGCATCAGGGACACAAATGCATTGTGCACCCAACAACCATCACATTTATACCAAAGATCAGTGTTGCTACTGTAGTATACAGGGCAGTTGTTTCAAGATATGATTTTGCTCAAGTCTGGGTAGCTGCATCGGTGATCCGCAGTGGCGGCGTCGGCGATTCGCACTAGCTGCGCCGGCGTTTGGCACTTGCTGCCTCGGCGATAGCCCTCGCTTTGCTGAATCATTCTGCTTTGAGCTATTGACAGCGAATTGAGTTGTATCTTATAACATAGCTACATAGCTTAGACAAAGCGAATATGAGGAGTTTCCTTCTGCAAGGCTACCACATCTTGCTGAGCTAGATTGTCACTCGTCAGCTTTCGCATCCTATGTTCCTCAATGGCAGAATTCTTTGGATCCAGCACCCCTTTCGCGGAGCCATTGTGGTACTCCCGTCCGGGAAATCCACATTATACTGATTCGCATAGGCGGTTGCGGGATGAAATCCGCCAATATGTTGACACTGAAATCGAGCCGTTTTGTTCCGAATGGGAGGCCAGCCGTGCAGTTCCGAAAACAGTGAGGCTCCAGCTTGGTGCATGTGCCGATATGTTACCTTGCTGATATTATCCCAGGTTCTCAAACGCCACTCAGACCTAGGCTATACGGCCATTCTGTTGAATCCGGCCGCAATTGAGAAATATGTTGGAGACAACATCAAACTCCCAGGCAGGGTTTCGGCGACTGAGTGGGATAGCTTCCATGACTTGATAGCCATCGACGAAATGGCCCGTTGCGGCTCGCTTGGGGTCCTATGGGCTCTTGGGTGTGGAAATGCGATTGGCTGTCCTCCGGTGATCAATTTCGGGACCGAGGAGCAGAAGTCTAGGTGGCTGCCTCCTGTCATTCGGGGAGAGATCAGGTTTTGTCTGGGCATTACGGAGCCGCACGGTGAGTTGTCAAAAACTCTCTTTTTTCAATCTCTCCCCATAAACTCATCGAATAACATGAGATACGTGCCATAGCCGGATCGGACGTTGCTAGCATCTCTACCACAGCGCAAACACAAGACAATGTGTTCATCGTCAATGGGATAAAACAGTGGGTTACGAACGGCCTGTTTGCAGACTATTGTACAGCAGTCGTCCGGACTGGTGGCGCTGGAAAAGCCGGAATCTCATTACTGGTCATTCCACTGAATTCAAAAGGGGTTTCGCGAACTGAGATACACACCTCGGGTGTGGCTTCAAGCGGTATGCCTTGCGTCCTAGAGTCAATGTAACACGCTGCTGATGGATATGCTCAGGATGCGCTGCACTGAAATTTGATAACGTAGAGGTTCCCGCCGAGAATCTCATCGGCAACTTGAATGAAGGGTTCAAGTTAATCATGTCCAGTAAGTGTGCCACTGGCCTCTGGCACATCAAGTGCGTCTGATCCGAGTAGGGCTAACCTGTTCAGGCCTCAACCATGAACGTCTCTGGATAGCGGGTAACTGCTTGCGCCTTGCTCGCATATGTCTCGAAGATTCTTATCAACACGCGCTCACACGCCACACTTTCGGAAAGCCGCTCATCGATCGTCAAGCCATCCGGCTCAAGTTTGCCAATGTTGGCATGCAAATCATGAGCGCATACGCCCTGGTCGAGTCACTGGTACAGGTCAGAGAGAGCGCGTTTAAGAGAGCAACGAACATTGACGAGCTGGGCTCGAATATCGGCGGCCTGTGCGCCCTGGCCAAAGTTAGTGCTGCTAGGGCAACAGAGTTGGCTGTGCGGGAAAGTCAGCAGATCCTCGGGGCACTGGGATATACACGAGCCGGTCCGGGAGCGCGGGTAGAAAGAATCAGTCGAGATCTTCGCGTGCTCATCATTGGCGGTGGCAGTGAGGAGATTTTGAGTGAGATGTCAGTTTTGCAAGAGAGGAAGGATTTGGAAAAGCTGCGTCTTGCTTGAAGGTTTACGTGGTTGAAGTGTAGATTCTAAGTACTTTGAATGTCGCATATATCACCAAATAGACATGTGGAGTGTTAGAAGGTTTTGCGTGATGTACAGAAAAAGATACCGTATGAAGGGGGACTTTAATGTGAAAGCAGGGAATCTTTCAAAGCAGAGCTTTCGGTGGAAAATTGCTCCTTAGTTGAAACAACTTAGCTAATAGTTGAATCGAGCCTCCTAATTCACAGATGGATAAGCAAGTCACTTAAAACTCCAGATTCACTCTAGCCTTTCAGATTACCGGGCTTGCATATTCCAGTCTTTTGTCCGTCAGTAAGCTTTACTTTCTCTGGTGGACGTGATTTTAATGAACGCTTGGCGTAACAACCGTGCGGCACAATCTGTACCACATATCATGCACATACTGAGGATGCAGGTCTAGGTAATGGATAGAGCTTAAGTTCGATAACAGTAAGCTAATATTGTGACCCGAACGATCTTACCCGCTACTATGCCCTACTAACATACTAGTATAACTTAGTAGTTGCCCAAATTAAGGCTCGAGGTGGTAATCCGTTGTATATCGCTGAAGCTCCACATCTTGCATCAGTAACCTATGCGTCTCCTCCGTGGCAGCAATAACGACCTCAATCACTTCCCTGCCATGCGCATCAGTCTTCCCAGCCAACGGAAACACATATGGTATCGGGGACGCTGGCGGACGTAGCGCAGCTGGACTGCCGAAGCCGAAATCCCAATTCTGGTACTGCAGGCAAGCCCAGCTCGTGAAACCCGAATCAATCTTGCGCGGTGGGCTGGACAGCCATGATCGCGTGGAGAAATCATCTATACTGTCAACCCAAGCAAGACCATCCTCGAGGAATGTCGCGTCCACGCTATCGATGATGTTCCGCAGCGCTACCGCAGCCTCGATTGGTCCTTCCGATGCCTGAAGTCTTCCAACCGGCAGGACAGCTCCGCTCATGAAGGTAGTATTTCCGATGAAGTTCCTTGGAAACTCGGGGAAGGAACGGGTACGGAATGTGACGGGGAAGACGGTCCAGGAGTCCATTTCATACTCGCCCTCGGCAAGAGCGGCCTTCGCGCGGGTCAGTCCAGTCCAGCAGATTGCGTGCACACAGTCAGCTGTGGAGACGGGAGTGGATGGCTTCTGGGCTGCGATCTCGGCTTTCAGGGCCGCCGTTGCTTCGCGAGAAAAGCTGATCACAGCGGACTTGATAGGTTCGGCCATGAGATTGGACCAGGGATTGGCCGGATCCGGCTTGGTGGAATTGACCATGCAGCCACGCGCAGTCATGGCTTGTTCGAGCCGCTGAACCTCACACGCATCGGGCCTCTTGGGACTCGACAGGATGGAACGGTCAGTGTAGAGCGGGATCTCTTCTCTCCCCTGGCAGTGTGCGGCCCAGGCTCGGAAGAGTAGGTCAACACTCGGTCCATCGACGAGATAGTGGTGAAAGGCAGCCGTGAGGATCAAGCCACCCTCGATGAAGCTGAGTTGAAATATGCACGCCGGTAAGCCGCCATCATGACTTTTCCCTGCTGCGATCGGATTAATCAACGCTTCGGGAAACGCGTTGCCTTTGGGAAGCTTCCAGGGCGCAAAGCGTTCGCGTTCAAGTTCTGCATATGATGGAAGATCGGTGCGAACAGCGTCAGCGCCCGTGACGACAAGGAGAACTCCATCGTTATCGCCGATCGTTTTCATGGTGCCACGCTTTGATGCGGCGTCGAAGGCTACTGTTGCAGTTAGGCATGGGGCCTGAGAGGCGAGTTTCTCAAGTCCGGTTTTGAGGAGCTGGACAATGTCTCTGCGGGATTGCACGGTGGACTCGGGGAGCAGATAATGCATCGACATTCGCGCGTGCACCTTGGGCATAACCTGATCACAGCCAGAGAGAAGGAAGTCCTTGGCACCTCTGGCATTGGCGTCGGACGGCTGGCACCAGTATGCTTCCGCTCCACGGGGGAGGTGCTCCTCCCATCGTCGGGCCATTCTTTTCACCAATGGTGCTCGTACAGATATTTCAGGTGGAAGGAAAGATACTGAGAGTCTTGGCTGTAAATTGGGTCGATAGATTGGGGGACCTTGTGTCGTCGCTTCTAAAGCGCATAAATTGTATCAGAAAGGGCGTCACCCTCACAGGAATCGATAGGTAGCGACGCAGCAAAGTCCTTGTAATGCTAATTACTATTATACTCATCGGCCGTAACAATACTCGGGGCTCTACAACTGCGGGTATCAATATCGGCATAGGATTCGGTGCCCCATTTCGAAACGCCGAAGATCGGACTCCCACCTCCAAGCCGAATATCTCGAACAATAGATCCGTCAAATTGCCAAACAGGCTATGATCAGAATAAGGATCAGTACAGATATGTTAGATATATGTACTCGTTTCGCAATGTTCATTATCACAGTGGCCGTGATGTTGTGATCCAGATGTTGGTTTGTCTGTATACACGTATATATGCAGTTCATCCGCTTCTTGCAATGAGAATGAGAACACCTTCTTACTATTGAACCCAGCCTAGCATTGACTCCTAATGAAGGACTATGGATACGGGAGGCTACGATCTTATACAGGCAAGCTATAAGCGAGGCATTGAGCTTTTGTATTCTCATGTGGGACCATGAGGGTGTAAATATATTCCGTTAAGGGTACCCAATTTGAATGTAGCACCAGGTCGGCGATGATGCAATGGTTCGAATGGCCAAACAGGCCGTCTGGAAAATATTTTGATTGGATCTATGAACCGAATAAGACGATTCATTCGCCTGCTGTCTCAAAAAGAGTCAATTAAGACCTGTTTCATGAAAGAAAGAATGATATACCTACATCCCTTCTCTCCGTCTCTTTTTCTCTTCTTCTTTTCTGCGTGTAGGCGTAGCCAATGGGGATTTCTGTTGTTCACAGCTAATCCGCCTTTCATACATGGCTGTTCTGCCGCCCTCCGCACGGATTGCTGCACCCCATCAAAACACCACAGACTGCATAAAATTGGGGGTGCCAATTGTCCCTAACCCCGCTCACACTTGTTTTATGTAGTGCTTATTGATTACACCCGCAGAATTTATGTCACTGCCTGGAGTATGACAGCATGTGGGATGAGTTCTATTTCTGGTCAGCGTGGAGAGATATCGGTATGCGTATCAAAAGGGCAACTCAGCCGAGTCTGTCTAGAATGAGAGGCTATTATAGACGTATCGGCCCGGATGTGACTACATAATCTGCGCAGTGGAGATAACCAGAAAATTATCAATCAACTGAAATGCATGCAGATAGGTCAAGTGAACGGAAGTGTCAAATGCAAGGTATTTGGACAGCAAACATAGATAGCAAATATTGTATCAAATAGCATTGTCGGGATTGGTGAAGAATCTAGGAGATGACCATCCTAGTATTCTAGCCAGTGCCAATAAGCTGGCCATGATAGTGAGGCTCCAGGGACGGTCTGAGGAGGCTGAGATGTTGTACTGCAGAGCCCTAGTACATTAGAAGAAGATGAGTGGAATTGATCATCACATACTCATGACTAGTGGTGGACTATGCCTGATGCTCGGTTATCCGGGGACATATTGGGGGGCGGAGTCAATAAACCTAGGTGCTAGTAAGCTATAGCAATCTAGCCTCGACGCCTATGTGGCAAGGGAAATACCGGGAAGCTGAAGGATTTCTTCGGCAGATACACACAGGCAGTCAAGAGGTGTTCGGGGCCGACAATCATGGCGCCTTGTCACTTGCACGGGGTTTTCGGCGCCAATGCCAGTCTCTGGATGCGAAGCGCCCGCGAACTAGGCCCTCTATGGCTGAGCTGGCCGGATGGAAGGTATGTTGTAGCACTTTGTGAATTGCTCTACCGTGAATCCTGCTTCTGACACTCCGAGAGAGAAAGCATAATCGAATCTGGCTTAAAAAGAGGCCGAATCAGAGGTTGCGCGATATCCCAGCAAATGTTGGATTCCCAATGACACAGAAGCGCCAGGCCACGGGATTGTGATGATGTTGTTAGTTGTGTTTGAGATGGCCGCATTCCTCCCATCATCGGCCGCTCAGTCCATCGAAAAGCTTCAGGTTTCCCCCGTGAGGCAATAGGGGGCCTAATCAATATTGCTCATGATCGATCGTCCACCTAGTGGCTGTATTGCGAGCTGAGATGACGTGACAGAAGCCAATATGTTGCCATGCGAGTTGTGTGAACCAGGGACAATCCATGGTGAGAATACCAACTACAGGGTAGGTACTGCACTCCGTACTCCGTGCTCCGTGCGGGGTAGTCTCTACCTATAGGATCTTGAGGTAATTACCCAATAGGCAGCAAAACGAGACATGTTCCACCTCGATTGACAAATGGGAGCTGTGGCAGAGTGGCTCGGCTGGACACCACTAGGTGCTATGTAGGTACAGTAGTAGCGATGACTGCCGCTGTCTCGATATTATCGAGTGGCCATTGGCCGATAAAGAGGTGTCTCAGTGGCACACCATCGCAGCTCAGTCAAGTAACGACAGCGGGCAATTGTGGGCCAAGGACAGCCAATGAGTGGCAGGTAAAAGATTTCCGGCCAACCACGGCCTTAATATCAATAGAGGTTGTCAGCGATTTGGAATCCCCAGTTGCGCGGCCCTCCCCGGATAAAAGATTCTGCTGGCATTATAGCCTCCTACGTGGCCGGGCCGAGGTCGAGCTGCCATGAAGCCAATGATGAGAGTCGCAGTGGGGTATACTAACTACATGTAGATCTGGGAGGGGTTGCCGAAGTTCCAGTTCGCAAAAGTCCGCCTTTCACTTTAGACTACGCCCAACCCTTCCAATTATAACTGAACTGGGGATACCTCCACACGTGCGAATCTCGAGCGTTGCTCTCAACCTCTAGGGGAGCCATGCACTTCCGGAATGGCCGTGTTGACCACCAGAACTCCCATACAACATCTTTCTTATCAAAACATCAGCATTCCATGAACAATGTATACGATCACCCAAATCAGAATATAATGCGGGTTATTCTCTCTATGTACTTGTAGAATTCCACAAGCCCTACTGTGGTACTCGTAAACATGTGTATACCAACTAAGCGAGACCTAAAAAAGCATCTCTGCAAAGTAGGTGTACAAGTACATAAGTACAGAACGCACATCTCTGGACATGTATACAAGCATACAAACAAGCATAGCCTCACACAGCACCCCTGTAAGTAAGCACGCGAGTAAGCGAGCAAACAAGCGAAAAAAAGTTAAGGCCTCCTGCAGCACGTCTACAAGTACACAACCAAACTAGGCCTTATGCAGCACCATACAAGCAAGCACCCAAGCAAACAAGCAAGGCCTCGCGCAGCCCCTCTCCAAGCACACAGATAAGCAAGGCTTCACACGGTACCTCTCCAAGCACACAACCGAGTAAGACCTTACACAGTACCCTCCCCAAGCAAGCAAATAAGGCCTTATGAAGCACTCCTCGCAATGATTCAACCCCTGGAATCAAATCTACAAATCAGGGTCCATCTGAAAGATGCCGCGGTAGAATATAACAAATCTAGTACAAATTATAGACCAAAACAGCAGCCGTTTTGATAGTGGGTGGCGTTCGGGAAGCGCGTGGCCCGTCTAGTCTCGGGCGGGTCAAACCTTCCTCAAGTGCAAGGTCTCCGTGCCAAATGCACCCCCCCCCCCTCGCTTGCAACCCCACGACTCCAGAGGGGTGATCCGCAGTAGATCCATCCTACTACTGGTGGTCTTGCGGGAGGCTGCTAGCCTGCCATTGTTGGACATCATGTGTCTACGAAATACTTCCACCCAGACTCGGTTGACTGCACCTCCTGAGTGGATACGGAGTAATTTGGCAGCATATCATGCTAGATCTATCAACTGAATGCATGCACGCATGTGTCTTTTTCAGATTCTTTGTCCTTCACACAGCCCCGTCCCAGGATTCGACTTACGCACTTACTAACGCCTCGTATATGCACTCAACCAAATGAACCTACATATTGCAGTTGACCCTGATGGTTCGCTACTTCGTTTAATATTCACACGCTATACAGGGATGGTGTACCTAGTGTGTTGATCTCTGATCAAGATCCTGCTCCTGATCTTCTTCGTAAGCAAGACTCCGACCTAGCAGAGCAAGCGGGCATCTGTTTGAAACTCTCGCTCACTACTGTACTATATGGCAAGATAACTCCGAGTCCCACGGGGTCAATCACTGTACACGATTGGGCTCGCTGCATGCGTGAACCAGGATTAGCTTCCATATTGGCCCCCAATCATTCCTTCCAGAATCTGGCTCACCTGGGAGGTCGACGCTTCACGCGGGCTGGAACACGGTCTCCAACCCTCGATGAAAAGTATGGAACTGCTACACAGAGATTACCGACCGGGAGAATCGATCCGGACACCGGCAGTGGCAGTCTTTCTCATACGATCGGCGTTAGGGCTACTAGGTACCTCGAGCTGCGCTGCTTACTCAAATAGGAAGTCCATTAGAAGCTTCTGTATAGAAGGGAATGTATGCAGACTGGTAAAAACAGCAGAGCCGCTCTCAGCACACCACCAACCTCGTTGAATCGAATTTCTGAACGAGTTTGATGATTATTCGGACAGCAATTCCGGATGGTTGGCGCTCGAAAATCAGAAAGCAATCCTACAGTTCCACCGCGAGTGGCGCCTCGTCCGCAGTGGTTCCGCGCCAGCTTAAACATCTTAATATACTGAATCCTGAGCGGAGAAATGGGCGGGGAGGGCTTGGTGGGGGGTGAAACCGATACGAACCGTCACCTCTGGTAGTTCAAGATGGTTTCCCCTGGACCTTTACTTTACCCGTCCTTCCTGAGACGCTGATTGGGTAGTCAATAGGTTTTCTAACGTGATAGACGTAGTTGCTGACCACTTGTATGTTTGATATACTATTTTGACGAATTGCATGTCAACTGGAAGGGTGCATATGCCATGGCCTGCGGTGGGCGGCGCGCTGCCGCGCCGAGAACGGCCGTGCGGCCGGGTGGATCGGCTTGTCTAGGCTTCTGAAAACAGTAATTGCAATTTCGGTGGTGGAAAGCCTGGATTCGTATTCATATAGTGTGGTTGCTTTATCTACAGGTACGATACTAATACTTGACTATAGCATACCGCTTGCTTCGATCTGGTATAGTGTCGGTCGTATTGGAGAGACTGCCGCTGTCGATATCAGTTATCGCCGATCGGACCTTCGCAGTGGCTTTCTGAAACTTACCTTTAATGATTACCTCAGATGATCCAGATCGTACGTAATCCAGCCTGTAGTAAGAACTATCCACTCCGGACGGAGTGAAGTGGTGGAATCAAGAAGGATCGCAGTTGTTCCAGTTCCCGGTTCAATGCGAAGTGGCACTGCACTAACAAAAACACGCAAGTCGATCGCTGCCCGAAACGAGCAGTGCACGGAAATCAGGCTAACTGAATGCATGATAGTGCTTACTACTGCCTAAGGTGGTAACGTTATCTCCAACGTGACACCTACCAGATGATCCATGATTCCAATCACGGTGGCCCATACAATCGCCACACTCTGTGTTTATTGTACAATGCCTAGAGGACTAGATGTAATGGATGTCATGGTTGTGGGGGGCGGGCAGCCTTCTCCATTTTACAAACAGATCTAGCAGTAGTGGCATGCACGCATGAAGCGCTGACTCTGAGACCGACAGGGATGTAGAATAGGCCACATTTTGGTTTCTCATAAACTTGCATGAAAAACACACGGCTATCTAATATATATCAGGCAGGACAGTCGGTCGGGAAATCAGGAGTCGCCACCTTTCCCACCTATCCCTGGACCTTCCTAATGATGTCGGTTGTGCTTCTTCAATCTTTTCAACAACCAACGTGAGAGGAAAATGGAAACGGCTGCCCGACACCAGTACGACCGAGAGTGGGCAGGCCCTTCAGCTGTAAAACATGCTGACGGCCGAACGTTACGGAAGTCGTGCGACAGATGCCACCAGCAGAAGCTTCGATGTGTCGGGGACAAAGCCTCGTTGACCCAATGCGTGCGCTGCCAACGGGCTGGACTCGAGTGCGTGTACAGTGTCAGGTCCAGCAAACAGTCAAACAAGAACATGGTGGAGGGCAGGGACAGCATGCCCACCCAGTCTGTGACCCCAGCATCGAATCCCCTGAGCGAGCTGGATCCGGCGTTCGCCCCGGATCTGTCACACCTCAACGACATTTTCCCGGGCACTTCATCGTCCTGGGCTACTGTCGAGCCAGCCTCACTTGGTAGCTTTGTTCTGCCAGAGTTCCTGGACACAAGCACTTCCGAAGAGTCCATGAGCATCGCACCGCCCTCCTCGAACAGCCCAATCGATGCTGGGGTGGTACTTGGAAGCGGGCCATCGGACCTATCTGGCTGTCTCGCCAGCGCATGCCAGGCATTGGAAGCCGCTTTTAGGAAGGTGATACGAGATCACCCCGGCCAGAACGCCCAAGATTGTATGAGAATGACACCAAGCCATCCGCAATGTACAAGACTGGGACACGGGAGCTGACAGGTCGAGAACAGATCCGATTGGAGAAATCTTTAACCAGTTCGACGGCTTGTTGGAGGTGCTGGCGCTCGATAGTATGGTAGCAATCACCACGTCGCGCACGCCCCAAAGCCCATTCGATGAATACCTGCGGAGCAAACAAGCGTCGATGGCAGCGCAGTGTTATGTCCTGTGTATAAAGCTGATGGCGGTCCTATCTGAACAGGTGCTCCAGAGCCTGTTGGCACTGCCGCTGTCAGCGAAACCGTCTGCGTCGGGGAATTTGGGTAGTTCAGAGACGATGAAAAATGTGAATGGTCTAGGAGCGCAAGAGGACAACTTCTCCCACACGAGACAGATCCCCAAGAGTCTCCGACTTGGAGACCTGTATGCTCCTCCAGACCCTTTCGGACATGCACTCAACTCTGCCATCAACATGCTCCGAATCGGGAGCAAATTGATTGCCAGGATGGAGCAGCTGCTTGGTATACCGCCCGAGCTGGGAGGTGGGAGCATGCCGTCCGGGGCTTCACCAGAGCAGGTGGGGCTCGACCAGCCTACACTGCGAGACAGAAGCGCTTCGAAATCCTCTTTATCATCATTGCCAGCTCGCTTCGTCGCGTTAATATGGGAGGATGAGGCAAGCATGTACAACAAATCTGCTGTCATGTACTTCCGGCGCTGTCGTGCCGCAACCTTGGGCCTCGCAAAGAATCGTTCTTGACGCTGCGTGCAAACCACTGTCAATTTTTAACATGCCTGAAATGGTGATGAAGAACTATCTAGGGGCGGATCTCGGTGGGATGGGCTAGGGTTCCTTACTCCATATACTAGAGTAGATTTATATGTGTATATATGTTCACCCTCCGTCTACATGATTCTTACGCTACGAGAACTTAAGTCCCCTTGATAAGTTCGAGATGTGTTTAGTAGTCCTTTGCTAGAAACTCCTACCCTGTGTTCGATTTGGGTATGATAGAACTATACTACAGCTAGGCTAACAGGATGTCTGGACCATGTCCTCTCCTTGAGTAGTCACGGATCACATATCACACAACCAACCCCGACGTCTACCGAACTGGCAATCTGATGCTCATGATAGTCTGTCCAAAGAGAATTTTTTGTCACCGGAAGAGTACGCACCAGCAATCATGATGCATGGCCGAGCTTCGGCGATTTCGGCGTTTCAGTAATCTAGGATGGCTGATCCTCTGCCACCGCCCTATATAGCCCCGAAAGTACTGTACAATACACTTGCGACACACGAAGAAGACCTTCATCCCGCATTTTGTGTCTGCCTGTCTCCTTCCATCCAAAGATGCTTGGGGTCTTGCTTCTGCTTGTCGCCACTGGTGGTCTTGCCTGGTTTCTTGCGACACCTTTTCGAACAGGACTATGGCGCATTCCGGGGCCGTGGTGGCGGCGCTATACAGGTGAAACCCAAGACGTCATCCCTTCGTTCGGAGACCTAATATTGCTCTAGACCTCTTCCAGGCGCTTGATGCCTACAATGGACGAACTTGCCAAGTCATTCAGCGCTTACACAAGGAATATGGACCCATGGTGCAAGTTGGTCCACGAACCGTTATGTTCTCGAACCCATCCATGATAGACAAGGTCTATGCCACGAGGGCACCCTTCCCCAAGGTAGGCCGTATACATACACCCTCCCGCTCACAGCTTCTCTAACTGCCCCCCTCCCTCAGAGCCATCACTGGAGGCCGCTCCGAACTGAGCTTAAAGGCGTCCATTACCCAAGTCTCATAGGCACGGAGGATACCAAGACCCATGCTGCTCTCAAACGGCCCATCTCCGGCATCTACTCCATGTCCAACGTCACCAAGTCGGAAGGCTTCATCGACGAATGTATCCTTCAGCTGGTCAAGAAGCTTGACCAAGAATTCAGGGCCAAAGAGCAGCCGCTGCCCGTGTTCACGTGGATGCATTTTTGTAGGTCAAAAAGTCCAGTTCGCGTGAGAGGGGTTAACTGAAGCAATGTGACAGTTGCGTATGACACAATCATGAAGCTCACGGTCTCCGCCGACTTCGGCCTCGTCCGAGGCGAAGCGGATCGAGAGGGCATGTTTCGGGGTGTCGATGCAGCTCAAACCTATCGAGCCATGGTAGGCAACACTCGCGTAAGATTCCGCGCTATGGCTGACAACTTCGTTAGGCAGCGTGTATGCCGTGGGTGCACTCTGTTCTCAAGGGCAGTCCCATCACGAAAGTGTTCGAGAAACGCATGGGCTCGTTCCCACGGCGCGCACGGGAGCTCATCCAGAGCCGGCGGGCCAACGGGGCGGCAAGCGCCGCGGATCGCGAGGACCTGCTCTCCCAGATCCTGGACACCCAGACGAAGCATTCGAACGTTGTCGACGAGCGGGTGGTTCATGGCTACGCGACCACCCCACTGCTCGCCGGGGCGGACACGGTGACCATCGGCCTCACCTCCGTCAGCTACTTCTTGGGCAAGCATCCGGAGGTTGCAGCCAAGCTGCACGCAGAGCTTAAATCGTCCGGGCTCCGGATGCCGCCCCCTTGGGCTCTGATCCACAAGATGCCCTACCTAGATGCGGTGATTCGCGAGTCATTCAGATGCCATCCGATTGGAGCGATGCTATCGCGACGCGCGGTCCCCCCAGGTCCTGGTCTCACGCTCGATGATGGTCACATCTTGCCCCCGGGCACCGCAGTCGCGGTTTCAGGGTGGTCGACGCATTTCGATAAGGACGCCTATGGCGATGACGTGCACGACTTCAAACCCGAGCGCTGGCTGCAACGTCCCTCTGAGAGCGACGAGGAGTATGCTGAACGGCTACACAAAATGAACAAAGCCGATCTGACGTGGGGCGCCGGCGACCGGGCGTGTATGGGCAAGAACATTGCCAAATGTGAAATGTACAAGCTCATTGCCACATTGTATTTCCTCTTTGATGTGAGTCTCTGCTGCTGGTTATGTGTTTGCTGTTTCGGAAGAGACTGACAGTCGGCCACAGATTCAACTTGTTGAACCGGCCAAGGAATGGAAGATCAAGGAGACGGTGCTGGCGAAGCAGGAGGGCGTGGAGGCTAAGATTACTTTCAGGCCTGACGCGAGCATGGACCAGCTTCGAGAAAAGGATGCTTGAGAAAGAGAAGCTAAAAACCGTCTCTGCATGATGTCTCGTAGATGAACAGCGGCTGGCGGACTTTAGAAGTGGGTGAGAATCATATTGCCATGAGCGAAGAGACCTTTCTGTTGGTGAATAGGCTTTTGTATTGTGTGGAATGATCACCCTTCAGCACTTCAGTCACACCCTGTGCGGATCTGAAAAGTTAAAGACGGAGAGAAAAGCTATAACTGGAGAAGTGTCTCTAACTATTGCAAGGTACATATCACAAACCCGATCGGATAATATAGAACGGCCTAGGGCAATGTTTTCTGCCTCGAAAGGAGAATTGTAGTTGTCTTGCAATCTGAAGAATTCATTGCCATGTTATTGAATTCCGTGAATTAGATTAGGAACCTTGAGGGTTACCCAATAGATTGCATCTTCCCAGGTCACAAGGATATGTCGGGGTGAGGATTGCATTCTTTCAACCGTTGATTAATAGATTGTGAGACACCACCTCAACAGACACATTACAATTCGTCTATTGTTCACAATACACCAGAGCGGTAAGAACAGCTACCTCCTTATCTTGGGAATCTGCTTTCTTCTGATATATTGCAGTGTTAAGTGTGGTGATTATTGACAACTTCTACCCTATGCAACCAACTAGCTCACTAGACGAACCACACATTTCTCCCCCGAAAGCTGCCCACTCCTCACCAACTCCATACCCTCCAACACCTGGTCGAGCCCACCTTCAAGAACCCGCACGGGATGATGTCTCAGATCACCGCTATCGACCAACCTCTGGGCAACCGCCCACAGCTTCTCGCCATAAGCACGAATCTCCTCACTCGGCGGTCGGCCATATGGACTGGGCCACGTAGACCCGTCACCGAAGATGGATGGACCAAGAACCCAGTCGGTCTTCACCGTGGCGCGCGTGGCGGCGTGCTGCGGAAACGGGTCCAGGGAAACGTACTTGCCGCCAGCTCGACCCAGGGCGGCGTAGCAGAGGCTGGTGGATTCCGCCGTCGTGATGCAGTCGAGCGCGTAGCGCAGGTTGTTCTTCGTGTAGGTTTTCTGGTTGTGTGAGGAGGATCGGTCAGTAAGAATGGGTGTATGGAGACGAAAGCGACCAACGTGGTGGGATGGAAAGCAGATGGCCTTACAATCTTCATCGCGCAGTCCGGGTCGCGATAGTCAAAGGTCGCTTCGACACCGTAGGCTTTGACTTGGTCTGAATTCTTGGGCGAGCAGGTTGCGATTGGGATCATATTTATGCTAGACGGGTCAGCACGAGCCTCGCGATATCAGCCTGGAAATGGTGTTCTCTCACAGCCTCAGCAGCTGGATAGCAATGGTTGCAGTCGCGGTACTGCCGCCGTGCAGAAGAACGTATGCTGGCTTCTCCACTGGAGCATCGGGCAGAGGCAGCCCTAGGAGCTTCAACGCCAGTCCTGCAGTGCTGATCCCGGCGCCAAAGGTAGCACCGCCTTCAGTGCTGACGGAGGCAGGTAGCTTCAACCAGATCTTGCCCGCAGAAATGTTGTATTCCCCGAATGAACCACGATGAGGAGCGTTGGCGTTCATGGCATGCTGAGCTCCGCACACTCGGTCGCCAACCTGTACCTCTGTGACCTCTGGGCCACAGGCGACGACAGTTCCGGCATAGTCAGTGCCCAGAATACCACCAGGAGTCACGAAGGGGCCGCGCATTTTGGTGTCGCTGGGGTTGACAGCGACGGCTTCCGTCCGGACCAAGAACTGGTCCTTCTCAAGCGTAGGGAAGGGCACATCGTCTCGTACACACACCTGATCTCCAGCCTCCACGATTACCGCACGCTGGGTTGTTGGAGGCACGAGTGCCGCAGTCTCAATTGACCCCATTGTCAGTCAGTAGAATGATAGGCGTCCTTTCGAATCGTGAGCTGAACAGGTAGTACCAGGGAACGCGACTGTGGATTCAGTGTTAGTGAAAGTCTCTAAAATTCCCTTATCGAGGGCCCGAAGCCTTACTGTGAGTGCGCAGTGGCCCCTACTCCATTACATTTGATCATGCCCACGTGGACCGAAGAACGCAGGGAACACACTACCTGGTGGGCAGCGAGCGGGAGATTGCCGGCGGCCCGTAGAGCATACCGGCAATCTGCCACGCCGTTCGGCCTTCTTCGGCGTTTCGGTTTATGGGCCCCGTAGTACCCCCAAAGAAGCGAACATTTCCCGATCTCCCTATGTGTCTGTTGAGAGGAGTGCTCGATGGTAATCTTCTTCGAAGCAAGTAGTTCTCATCGACTATCAACAAAAAAAGGCTAGAACGCGGACACACGAGAGCCGGTTTAGTGCAACCATGTTAGTCGCAAATTGTTGCCCTCACTCTTGATCATGCACTAACGAGGGAATCAGAATGACTAGGGTACCCTCCAAAGCCCTTCTGTGTTTCCATGGGACGGGCTCGAAGGGAGCCATCTTCAACTTGCAGATGGCGAGAATCTGTTATCTACTGGGAGACGCGTTCGAGTTCATCTTCCTTGACGGGCCGATGGAATGCGCTGCAGGACCCGGAGTCCTGCCTATGTTCAGCGGCCAAGAGCCATATTACTGCTGGTTTGGCGGCGACGGCACCACTATCGACGAGAGCTTGAAAAAGATCAACGCGTCTGTCAAGCTGGCGGTGGATAAATGGCAAGCAAGTCATCCTGATGCCGAGATCGTCGGGGCGATTGGGTTCTCAGAGGGTGCACTCGCCCTCGCAATGATGCTCTGGCAGCAACAACAGGGTCTAGTGCCATGGATAGGACAGTTACAATTTGCCGTGATGAGCTGCTGTTTCTTTCCGAACGAAGCTTCCTTGTGGCTGAACGCAAGGGCCCAGGCTTATGGCCTGAGCAAAGCCTACATTGACGTTCCCACGCTTCACATACACGGCAATAGAGACTTCTGTCTTGGTCGCGCACGAAAGCTCGTGAGAAACCACTATCGGCCGAGCTTCGCTCAAATCATTCGAACGGACACCGCCCATCATCTGCCAACACGAAAGGACGAGGTTGGGGAGGTGGTGAAGCACATCCTGAGACTGTCGGAAATGTCTGCAATTGACATGGCAAGTTGAGTAGTAATTCAGGCGGACAGAGAGCCCAGTAGAAAGGCTCAGCGGTAAACATGCATGTATCTCGAATGATGTAATTGATGCCTATGACTAAGAATGAAGATCAAAGACTATCTGTCTGCAGCTTTGTCTGACCTGCTTCTCCGTGTTCTCGATGTTTTGTTTTCACAGATCCTGTCCATCATTGCGAGACCGCTTACGGTGGACTGCGGAGCCAGTACCTGCCCTAAGCTAGTTTCTCGAATCCTTTCTCGCCTTTCAGTGTCGGCGCCACAGAATTTTCAGGGAGAGTATTTTTTCCACAAAATGCCGGTGATGGCCTAATTCGGTGAACGCACTGCAAGTTCGGAAACGGGCTTATCGCACGGCTAGCATTGTCCTATACGCCGAACCTGGCCCCGGGACACTCCCCCAAAGGCCCGGTCAGATCTTAGCTTCTCGTGAAGCTCATGATGGGCCTACTAAAGGATAGAGTTAGACGCTGTCTGGACTTACAACTTCATAGTTTCAACACATTGAGGCCGGTGAAAGACCATTCTCGCCGCCATGACCCAATCTCAAGCACGTCGCAATGAGCCTATTGCAATCGTTGGCAGCGGCTGCCGCTTCCCCGGCAGTGCCAGCAGTCCTTCTAAGCTCTGGGAACTTCTGAAGACCCCGAGGGACTTGGGGAGGAAAGTTCCCAAGGAGAGGTTCAACGTGGATGCTTTCTATCATCCGGATGGAGCCCATCATGGTCGCACGAACGCACGATTTGCCTACTTTCTCGACGAAGACCCTTACACCTTTGACCCATCTTTCTTCAACATTCCACCCAATGAAGTCGACACAATTGATCCTCAACAGCGTCTCCTCCTAGAGACTGTCTACGAGGGTCTCTCCTCTGCGGGCCTCAAGGTAGAAGACCTTCGAGGCTCTCCCACCGCCGTCTACGTTGGTATGATGCAACGTGATTTCCTCGACCACCAAAACTACGATCTCGATGCCCTCAACATCTATGCCGCGACCGGCACATCCGCATCTATTCTTTCCAACAGAGTCTCCTACGTTTTCGATTGGCACGGTCCGAGTATGACCTTTGATACCGCCTGCAGCTCCTCCCTCGTGGCCGTCCACCACGCCATCGAGCACCTTCGAACGGGCTTAAGTCAGGTCGCCATTGCTGCTGGCTCGAACTTGATCTTGGGTCCGGTTCCATTTATCTCAGCCAGTAAGCTGAACATGTTCTCACCCACTGGCCGTTCTCGAATGTGGGATGCTGCCGCGGATGGGTATGCTAGAGGCGAAGGCGTTGCCGCGGTCGTCCTGAAAACTCTCAGTCAGGCGATCGCAGACGGGGACACTATCGAGTGTGTTATTCGTGAGAGCGGCATCAACCAAGACGGCAAGACTGCAGGAATCACAATGCCGAACCATGCAGCACAGGAAGCTCTGATTCGCGAAGTCTACAAGCGAGCAGGCCTCGATGTGACCAAGCCCGAAGACCGCTGCCAATACTTCGAAGCGCACGGAACAGGCACTCCGGCAGGGGATCCTCAAGAAGCCCAAGCCATCTCTTCTGCTTTCTTCGGGAACAGGCAGCGTGCCGTCGATGAAGACCCTCTGTACGTGGGTAGCATCAAAACTGTCATCGGGCATACTGAGGGTACGGCTGGTATTGCCGGCCTGATCAAAGCTTCGCAGGCCATTCAGCATGGTCTACTACCGCCAAATATGCTCTTCAATGAGCTAAGCCCGAGGGTGGCGCCATTTTACTCCGATCTCCAGCTTGTCACGAAACTCCAGCCCTGGCCCGAGCTCAAGTCCAACCAACCGCGACGAGTGAGTGTCAACTCGTTCGGATTCGGCGGTACCAATGCCCACGTAATCGTGGAGTCCTATATTCCCGCCTCGAAACCAGCAATTGATGCGCCCCCCACCCCATCCCTTGCTCCGATCACGCTCTCCGCCAATTCAGAAGCCTCGCTGAAGGCCTCTATGGAGGAGTTGAGTCAATTTATCAAAAGCCAGCCCAGCTTACGCCTACAAGACCTCGCCTGGACACTGCTGAAAAAGCGATCGAACCTTCCAGTCCGCCATGCTATACCAGCCAAGACGGTGCACTCTCTGTCCGAGGCTCTCGAGCGTGATGCGGCTTTGGTGCAAGGGAAGCAGAGCATCACAACGGTCTCGGATGTCAAGACCAAGCCCGAAGTGCTTGGTATTTTCACCGGTCAGGGCGCCCAGTGGCCGACCATGGGCAAGGCTCTCATCTCGGAAGTGCCTTATGCCCGCGATATTATCCTAGAGCTGGACCAATCTTTGCAGGACTTGCCAGAGGAATACCGGCCCACGTGGAAGCTCTTGGATCAGCTCCTCCTCGAGGGGGCAGACTCCAATGTACATGACGCCACCTTCTCGCAACCTCTCTGCTGTGCCGTCCAGATCATGCTCACAAAGCTTCTCCAAGCTTCCGGAGTGACGTTCAAGGTTGTCGTCGGCCACAGCTCGGGAGAGATTGCTTGCGCATTCGCCGCCGGCTTCATATCGGCGTCCCAAGCAATTCGGATTGCATACCTTCGCGGCCTCACGTCGAGGCATGCAGGTGGGCCGAACGGTATTGAGGGCGCTATGATGGCCGCAGGCACCTCCTTTGACGATGCAGTTGACCTATGCGCTCTCGAGGCCTTTGAGGGCAGAATGACTGTGGCAGCAAGCAATGCGCCGGAAAGCGTTACCCTGTCCGGAGACAGAGATGCCATCCTCGAGGCTCAAGAGATTTTCAACGACGAGTCAAAGTTCAACCGCCTCCTCAAGGTGGACAAGGCTTACCACTCTCACCACATGCGTCCTTGCGCCGAGCCCTATGTTGCAGCTCTCAAAGCTTGTGACTGCGACGAGTTCAGTATGGATGTCGCACCCACGGCCACCTGGATCTCGTCGGTCTACGAAGGCAAGCTCATGAAGACTGAGGATCTCGAGGCTGAGTATTGGAGTGCTAACCTACTCTCTCCCGTTCTTTTCTCTTATGCTGTCGAACAGGCCCTGGTAAAGCACATGCCGCTCGATATTTGCGTCGAAGTGGGAGCTCACCCGGCTCTGAAGAATCCTAGTCTCCAGACCATTGAAAACTGCGCCGGTGCTCCGCTTCCATATGTGGGCTGCATGGAGCGGAGCAAGGATGACGTTGAAGCCTACTCTTCGTGCTTGGGCTACATATGGTCGCGCTTTGGCTCAGCTGCTGTCGACGTCGACAGCCTGTACAGCAGTCTCTCATTGGATGTCGATACCCAAGACTTGTCCAAAGAACTTCCGTGCTATTCTTGGGACCATCACCGCTCGTATAGAAAGGAGTCCCGCGCGCTTCGCAGTTGGCTTGGAGCTGAACGGCCCCATCTTCTGCTCGGCAAGCAACTCGTCTACAGCAGTCCGTCATCGATACAGTGGCAGAACTTTATCCGGCAGCGTGATATCGAATGGCTCGATGGCCACTCCCTTCAGGGCCAGACTGTGTTTCCGGGCGCAGGATACGTGGTCATGGCCATGGAGGCTGCCGTGAAGCAGGCCGGTGATCGAGAGGTTCAGCTTCTGGAGGTTATCAACCTCTCGATCGACAAGGCCGTGACCTTTGAGGACGAAAACAGCATGGTGGAGATCAACCTCACTCTAGACGTCGACCTATCGCAGACCACAGACACTTACGCTGTGTACAGCTTCGTCATCAACTCTTGCCTCGCCAGAGAAACCGGTCTTACTCGCTCGGCGGCTGGGACGGTCGCTGTGACCTATGGATCAGGATCACCTGAAAGCCTTCCTCCCCCACAGGGCGAGCCGCCCCACCTGAATAATGTCAGCATCGACAGATTCTACAACATGCTCAGTGAGATCGGGTACGGGTACACCAAGCAGTTCCGCGGCGTCAGTAACCTCAGACGCGGCGACAGCAAGGCTTGTGGCACCATCGCCTTCCACCGTCTGGAGGACAACCACCGCAACATGGTTCTCCATCCTGCCACCCTCGACGTGGCCTTCCAAAGCTTTATTGGAGCATACACTGCCCCTGGCGACCGACGCCTGCGATCTCTCCTGGTGCCGACTGGAATTGACCGCATTGCGCTGAACCCGTGGGTCGCGGATCGCATCCACGCCTTGTCCAGCCAGGTGGAGTTCATCTCCACCAGTGCGGCGAGCGTCGGAAACACCGTGGCAGGAGACATTGAAGTCTTTGACCCGGAGACCGACGCCACCATGATCCACATCGAGGGCCTCAGCTTCAAGCCATTCTCCCCGCTCTCGGCTGCCGATGACCATGAAATGTTCTCCAAGTGGAGCTGGGGTCCCGTCAACCCCGAGCCCTTGCTCGATGACAGCAAATACCACGCCACCGAGCGGGACAGGAAAGACGTGGCAGTCATCGAGCGAATTACGTACTGGTACATCAAAGCGTTCCTCGCGAGCCTCACGGCGGAAGACCGCGAGAACGCCGCCTTTCACTTCACGAAGCATATCCAGTGGTGCGAGTATATCATCGCCGAGACCGAGGCGGGCCGCAATGTGTGGTACGAGCCAGGCTGGGAGCAGGACACGAAAGCTGATATTGAAGAGATGATTCGAGAGTGAGCCTTTCCCTCTACTGGGATAGAAAGAAGTGTTGGCTGACCTACGACCCAGGAACGTGGCGCATCCCTTCGTCCGCCTCATCCAGAGAGTCGGCGAAGGCGCCTTGGAGACCCTTCGCAACAACGAGAACGCCTTTGACCTGATGGACCACGATGGCTTGCTCACCGAATTCTACGGCGGCACCGTCAGCTACGGGCATTCTTACCACTACTATCAAAGACTCCTTGCGCAGATCAATCACCGGTATCAAAACCTGGATGTTCTCGAAATTGGTAAGTGAAGCGTATCCCACTTCAATGCGGCCACTGACGCAAAGAAAAGGCGCCGGTACTGGGGGTGCGACACGGTATTTCTTGAATCACCAACAAATCTCGTTCAACAGCTACACCTTCACCGATATCTCCAGCGCGTTCTTCGAGCAGGCGGCCAAGGAGTTCGAGCAGCATGCGGACAAGATGGATTTCCGCCCGCTCGACATCCGCCGTCCGCCAAGCGAGCAGGACTTCAAGCCCAACTCGTACGACTTGATCATTGCCTCCAACGTCCTCCACGCCACGCCGAGGCTCGAAGAGACTCTGGTAAATGTGCGATCACTGCTCAAGCCCGGGGGCCGGTTAGTGGTCATCGAAGTGGCGCACCGTGAGCACACCCGTATTGGATTCATCTTCGGTCTGTTCCCGGATTGGTGGGCTGGGCACGACGAAGGGCGTGTCCTTGAACCGTTTGTCTCATATGACCGGTGGGACACACTGCTGAGGAAGACGGGGTTTTCGGGAGTCGATAGCCGCACGCTTGACCCGGACAGCAGGGTCTTCCCCAACGGCGTGTTCGCTACTCACGCGGTCGACGACCTGGTGCAAAGGCTGGACTCGCCACTGGCGGCCCCCGTCAAGGAGTCCTACGCGCCGCTGGTGGTGATTGGGGGTTCCTCGCCGAAGACGAGTGCGCTCGTGGCTCAGCTTCCAGTCATCTTGCCAGCGCGCACATGGGAGACTGTCCCCACCATCCGGGAGATCATCGACTTCGACTATCAGCCAGGGTCCACGTTTATGGTGCTCTCGGAGCTGGATCAGCATACGTTTGCGGGATTCGATGAGGAGCAACTCGATGCTCTGCAGACCATCTTCAACGCCGCCAACCATGTCCTGTGGGTCACGGAGGATGCCTGGGTTGAGAATCCTCAGCAAGCCATGACCATCGGCTTCCTTCGCACGCTCCGCATGGAATATCCGGACGTGCATATCCAGGTTCTGGATGTTAAGAAGGCAAAGGATCTGCGACCCGAGGTGTTGGTTGAGACCGTTTTGCGGCTGGAAGATGGTACGAACTGGCAGGAGAGCGGTATTCTGTGGACCGAGGAGCCCGAACTGTACTTGTCTGATGGCAACGTTGTTGTGCCGCGGCTCAAGCCGGATGTCGACAGGAATAATCGACTGAACTCCGGCCGCCGTCCCATTCTGGTCGATCTGGATCCGAGACAGGAGACGCTGACTCTGGAATACGATGACGAGGAGCCTTTCTTCAGGTTCCATGAGGAGCGCTTTGTGCCCCTGGCTGTTGACGAGACCTTTGTGACGGTCCAGGTGGAGTACTCTCTTGCCAAAGCAATCAGAATCGGCCAGATGGGCTATTTCTATCTGATTCAGGGCAGGGTTGCTGGATTCGACGGCACGGTGGTGGCTCTCTCTGAGACCAACGCGTCCTCTGTTCAAGTCGCTTCCCACCGGCTTGTTTACATCACCAGCAAGGCAGAACTGACTACTTCTGTGCTTCCAGGCATCGCAGCAGAACTCATCGCAAAGACCCTGCTATCGGACCTTGCTGCAGGGTCATCCGTACTGATCTTTGAGCCCCCCATGCTCTATGTCGAGTCTCTGAGCCGTCACGCAGCGGCTGCTGGTCTCCCACTCGCCTTCGTATCCACCAAGGCTGCTCCGGAATTGGGCGGTATCCGGTGGATCCGATTGCACGAGAAAGAGACGCAGCGTAACCTTCGCCAGAGGCTGCCGCTGAACGCTTCAGTATTCTACGATTTGTCTCCCGAAAAGAGTCCCGCAAGCCTAAGCCACCGGCTGGAGAGATGCCTCCCGTCAAGCTGCTCTATTTGCCGAATCGGCCATTTGTTCCAGAACGTTGCTACGCCGATTTCCGTCGAAAGCGCGGCCGCGTCTCAGTGTCTGGCGGAGGCTGTCAGGGTAGCAAACAAGGTCAGCAACAGCCACGGTGGGTCGATACTCAAGGGTAATGAGATATTGTCTTTGAAAGAAGGTCCGGAGGTGAATGCGGTTGTCGACTGGAAGTCAGAGCAGATCATCCCCAGCCGTGTCCGCTCCATGGAGACCGATCAGATATTCGTGGACAATAAGACGTATCTGCTGATTGGCCTTGCGGGTGATCTGGGTCGTTCGATTGCTCGCTTCATGGTCGAGCGCGGCGCACGCCATGTGGTGTTGTCAAGTCGCTCTCCGAAGATTGACCAGCGCTGGATCGACGACATTACCCTGCTTGGGGGCAACGTGATGGTTCTACCGATGTAAGTTCTTTCCAACTTTCAGTGTGAGTGTTGTCGCTAATTGGATTCGAGGGATGTTTCCAACGAGGCCTCGGTCGACGAAGGTCTCGCTCGAGTCCGGGCCTCTATGCCGCCGATTGCCGGTGTGGCCTTTGGACCACTTGTCCTCCAGGATGTCATGTTCAAGAACATGGACCTGTCGATGCTGGAGATGGTGCTTGCGCCCAAGGTAACGGGAGCTCGTCTGCTCAACGAGCGTCTCTCGGATCCTGCCAACCCGCTGGACTTCTTCGTCATGTTCTCCTCCTTCGTCATGGTCTCCGGCAATCCGGGACAGGCGGCGTACAGCGCTGCGAATGCATACACGCACGCGCTTGCTCAGCAAAGACGCGCTCGGGGGATGGCTGCATCGACCATCGACATCGGCGCCGTGTTCGGTGTCGGCTTCATTGCGAGAGCGGGACGCGAACACGAGTACGATGTCGTCAAGTTCATCTTCGACGAGGTCAACGAATGGGAGCTGCATTCCCTCTTTGCAGAGGCCGTCGTTGCTGGTCGCAACTGGGAGACGACGGATGTCGAGGTCATCACCGGTATGCCCTACATGGATCCTGCGAACCACGACCGAATCCCCTACTTCGACGACCCACGCTTTGCGTATTTCAAGCTGTCCGATCACCACACCAAGGGCGAGGACGCCGCTGGGGCGGTCGGGTCCGTCAAAGACCAACTTCTCAAGGCCGAGACTATGGAAGACGTTCGCGCCATCATCCTTGACGGCCTCTCCGGCAGGATCCGGGGAGCTTTACAGCTCACTGCTGCGGATGAGCTCAATCTGACCGTACCTCTGATCGATCAGGGCGTGGATTCGCTCAGCGCCGTTACCGTCGGCTCATGGTTCACCAAGAACCTCAGCATCGACATTCCCCTTCTGAAGATCCTTGGTGGTGCCTCGGTCGCTGACCTGATCGACGAGGCTGTCTCCCGCTTGACACCTGAAGCGATCCCCCTAGCTAATTCTACGTTGCTGGAAAATACAGCGCAGTCTGCCGCTGAGGCGCAGCCTATCCCGCCGTCGTCGACTGTGGGTGCGTCCGACGAATCCTCGTTCTCTGTCGTTGACTACGACGATGTTCCGACGCCCCCATCTCCGCGCTCCTGCGATGAGGATGGCTTTGAACGGCAAGTGCCACTTTCCCTCACGCAGGAGTACGCCTGGAAACAACAGCAACTTCCCTTGGATCCGGCGACATTCAACAGCACCATTGGCATCTACATGTATGGTCCCCTCAATCTGAACCGTCTCGGATGGGCATTCAATCAAGCACTACAGCGGCACGACGCGTTCCGTACCTGTTTCATCGCCGATCCGGACGGCGCGGCGCAGCCCATCCAAGCCATCCTGCGGTCCCCGCGAGTGCACTTCGAAGTGGTCAAAGTGGCAGACAAAGCCGCCGCCGAGCAAGGGTTCAAGGATCTCGAAAGCTACAAGTACGATATAGCGAAGGGCGACACCCGGAAGATCGTCGTCTTCCAGTGGTCGCCCACCGATCACCTTCTGATCATGGCCTACCATCGTTTTGTCGGGGATGGCTGGACGACCGAACGCCTCTTTGTCGAGGTCGGCCAGTTGTACGAGGGCGTCCAGCTGGAGGCGGCGCCGAGCTATGCCGACTTTGCCCTCCGCCAGCGCAAGCAGCTCGAATCCGGCGCATTCACCGAGGACCTGCAGTATTGGGGCGGCCTCTTCGAGACCCTTCCCGCTCGACTGCAGATCCTCAACGTCCCCGAGGCCCACGCGAGCGCCACGCCGACCACCTGGACGGAGCACGAGGTGTCCGCCCGCCTCAGCCGGATGGTCGCCGTGCGCATCAAGGACCGCAGCCGCAAGCACAAGGTGACACCGATGCACTACTACCTGGCCTCGTACGTCGTGCTGCTGGCGCGCCTGTCCTCCAGCACGGACGTGGTCGTCGGCGTGGCGGACACCAACCGGCCCACGGGCACCGACCAGGCGACGATGGGCTTCTTCGCTGACTTCCTGCCCGTGCGGATGCACTACCACGCGGACCAGATCTTCAACGAGGTCCTCATGGCCACGAAGGAACAGATGCGCGCGGCGCTGCTGCACAGCGCCGTGCCCTACGGGGCGATGCTCGAGCGGCTCGGCCTGCCGGCGCCCTCCGCGGCGGACCCGCACTCCCACGCGCCGCTGTTCCAGGCCGTCTTCGACTACAAGCAGGGCCAGGCGGAGAGCGGCACCATCGGGGAGGCGAAGATCGTGGACTCGCGCACCCCGCGCGCGGGATCGCCGTACGATATCACCCTCGAGATGAGCGATGACCCGTCCAAGGACCCGTTGATCACGGTCAAGTTGCAGGCGGGGCGGCACGGGCCCCGGGATGCGGAGGTGGTCATGGACGCGTACTTGTCCATTCTCAGTATCTTTTCGAGGAACCCAGCGCTAAGGGTGGAAGATGGACGTTTGGATCAGGGGGCTAAGTCGAGGGCTTGATGGTGCGGTGGTAGTGCAATATTGTGCATTTGAGCTGTGATCTTCGCCCCATCATGAATACTAGTATATATTTCTACATCACTTGTTCAACAGCATCAAATTCCCTCCCACCGGAATAGGGGATTCATAAGACATCACAATCACACTAGATAAGATCTAGGGTAGATATATACATAAATACAGGTTAGAAATGCCATATCTCAGTTACCAGATATCTCTTGGGAAGATGAGGTGAGGGTCTGTGCTATTTATAGTAGCAACCCTGGCGTGCTTTGGCGGTCACGGGACCCGCTAGTAACACCCGTGACGGGAAGAGGCGCCACCCGCTGTTGTATGATCGCTCCACTGCCCACAGTCATAAATTACGAAGGTAAAGTGTCAAACGCCGAACAGGGCATAAATACGCCGAAGGAATCGCCGGTGCAACCCCCAAAACACGTGCCAGCCGCTAGTCTGATGCTGACCGCAGTAGCAAACAGCAAACTGTCAACAACACTGCAACCTGCTCTGCTTACTCTCCAACCTTTTCTCACTCATCCCAGATCCGTGCAGGACCACCTATTCCCTTTTCCATCCCCTCAATCCTCCCTGTTGCGCGCCTTCATCAGCACCGCAATGGCTGTGTCTCCCGTTGCCCAGAACAAGGCTGAGGGCCTTGGCCTTTACGCGCGGTTCGCCTTTGCCGGTGCCGTCTGCTGCTCGGTGACTCACGGTGCCTTCACTCCGGTCGATGTGTATGTCGTTCCATCTCCAGTATCTCATCTTCATCACTTACTAACCCTCCCCACTCCTACAGCGTCAAGACCCGGATCCAGCTCGACCCCGCAACCTACAACCGTGGTATGATTGGTGGCTTCCGGCAGGTGATCCAGAATGAGGGCGCGGGGGCTCTCCTGACCGGTTTCGGCCCAACCTTTGCCGGGTACTTCATGCAGGGCGCCTTCAAATTTGGAGGTTACGAGTTCTTCAAGCAGCAATCCATCAACGTCATCGGTCTGGACAAGGCCCGCCAGAACCGCATCGCGGTCTACTCGGTCTCCGCCGCCTGCGCCGAGTTCTTCGCCTCGATCGCTCTCTGCCCGCTCGAGGCTACGCGTATCCGTCTTGTCTCCGAGCCTGGCTTCGCCACTGGTCTGTTCAGCGGGTTCGGCAAGATCCTCAAGAACGAGGGCGTCGGTGCCTTCTACCGTGGTTTCGGTCCGATTCTCCTGAAGCAGTACGTTGGGCCAATCGAGAGACTGCGCGAGTAACAGCAATCACTGACACGATATAGGGTCCCCTACACCGTGACGAAGTTCGTGGCCTTTGAGAAGGTTTCTGAGGCTGTCTTCGCTCGTCTGGACAAGTCCAAGCTGTCCAACGGCGCCCAGACCGGGGTCAACCTGGGATCGGGTCTCATTGCCGGGTTCGCGGCGGCCATCATCTCCCAGCCCGCCGATACGATGCTGTCCAAGATCAACAAGACCAAGGGTCTCCCCGGCGAGAGCACCGTCTCCCGTCTCGTCAAGATCGCGGGCGAGCTCGGCATTCGTGGTTCCTTCGCCGGCCTGCCCACTCGTCTGTTCATGATCGGTGGTCTCACGGCCGGCCAGTTCGCCATCTACGGTGACATTAAGAAGGCTCTTGGTAAGTCTAGTTACCCTTCCTGGTGGATCACGGACGCTGACTCTGGACGCTTAGGTGCGACGAATGGTGTGGAGATCGCCAAGTAAGAGGCTGCTGTAAATATGCACATTTGGTATGTTCTAGACGGGGGGGAAGATGGTTGCGGTATAGAGATAGATGTAGCCAGACCTATTGTATTTACTGCACTACCCTTGAGCCAGGTACGGATCCTGCAAGCCTACTCGAGGATTATGTAAGCCCACAAGCTGGTATGTACGAGTTGCACGCCGTGGCAGGCATTATCATCCTTTGAGTCCCCGCATAAGTGAATGTATAATAGCGTGGATGATGTGGACAAACAAGCGCATAGAGAGGTCTAACGAGAGAGTGAGAAACCCTGCTGCAGTCCAGTACATCTTGACCCCAACTACGACCAGCAGACCCTAGACATAGTAACCCCCCCCCCCCCCCAGACCGCGCCATCCCGCCACCCTTTGACTACCCCCGAGCGCCTCACAACCCCACGACCTTATTCCCCTGCGACAATCGATAGCAGCATATCCCCCGCTAATTCCTCGCCAACTTGTTCGGTCCGCGCGCACACGCCACCTTTCCCGACGCAAGGACATGGACCGGGCGCGCCCATGGTTCTTCGACCCCACAGCCCCGCAGCAGTCCCGCGCCGTGGACCTGGAGATCAGCGCGCCTTGGATCGGGTGTGGAGGCTGGGGCAGGATGCGGAGGAGATAGACTGTAGGCCGTGGGTGACGGTCCGGGGGATATATAAGTTTTAGGGTTGAGCTTGAAGGCGCAGGCATCGGTCGGCTTGGGGAGTCGTTGAACTTGTCGAAGAGATGATGGTGATGATGATGGTATCATCCCACCGAACGCGAAGTCTACGAAGATCGACTGCTCTCTTGCAAAGCTCAAGGGAGGATACAAAGGTCTTTCCGGTTCAACGAATGGAGCAGTTGTGCTACGGTATCGGACGGTAGAGTGGATGATTGCTTCCTGAGAGATAAGGCCATAAACATGCCCCGCCGTCCCATATGGATCCGCCCGGGAATTGCCGCGTTGCTCCACCCGCTTCCACACAGGATGATGTGTGGAGGCGAATGACTGCTCTGGGATATGGAGCATGGATGGAGATAGGCCTCACCATGGTGCGTATTTACAAGGCCCGATGAGTGGTGAGTGAGAACCAGGGTCAAGAACCAGTACACCACTTCGAAATTATTACGGAGAACTGGCAGCCACCACCAGCACCCAGGATCATATAGATCCGCTCAAGACAACTCTTGATCCCTTTGTCATCGGTCTGCTTAATAATCCTCCAACTCCTGATGCACGATATATCGTATCAGAAAAGCCAGTAACGGAAGGAAACACAACACCGAAATGATGGCGGCGCAGCAAAAGCGCTATCTAGATGAAAATGACTTCCGCGAAGGTACGTGCCACGATCGTTTCTTAGTCTCCAAGCTGGTCCCCGCTGATCTTCTCCCTTCCCCCTTCCGACAAAAGGACTTGCAGCGCTCGACAAGGAACTGGGCGCCAACGATTTCATAGTAGCATTCGCTCCAATTCGCATCATCGCCGCCGGCGGCTTTCTGGCGGTCTCGTATCTGCGCAATCGTGAAAGCACCGGGGACATCGATTTTCTCATGGAGCCCGAATTCGCCGAAGACAAGGACATTCAGCTTCCCTTGCAGGAAGCCATCCGCGCCGTAGCAGTTCGGCACTCGTTCAACCTGGAGTGGGTCAATGAGGATATGGCTGTCTTTGTGACCAGGAACACTCGCCAGGCCTTGTTCGCCAAGGCCGAGAGGCAGAACATTACGCTGTTCAAAGGAGAGAATCTCGAGGTTTTGGCGGCTCCTCTGGAGTGGGCTCTCGAGCGCAAATTCCGGCGCATCCAGTCCGGGGGCCGCGATCAGAAGGGGGATTTCGATATGCTCGACGCACTTGCGCTGTTGAGAGAGCTGAGAGTACGCAACAAGGGTCCTCTTGACGAAGAATCGGGCCGCACGATGGACGTGAACGGCTTCGATGTCCTCCCGACCCATGAGACCATGCAACGGATAGGGAGAGAATATCGGGCAAAATACGGGGAGGATGTCTTCAAGTAGAGCCCGGCTTGGCAGGATTCTATGAACCAAAGTAGAGGTGCGGAGTTGGCATCGCAACCGTTCTTCTCACCGGTTCATTCTCAGATGGTATAGAGCCATCCTGTGTTTGTCACGATATTACGTTGTGCAAAGATGGGGCTGGTTCCATTCTCCTGCAATACCAGGTTTCCATGTCCGTCCAACTTCTCGGCAGGTACACACTGCCTTAGTAGCTCCTTGTCAACGGGCAATACAGATTTTGTCCATCCGGGTAGTTCCTCGGGATGGTAGGGTGGCCACGGATCGTCGTCCCGATCGCGGTAGATGCGTTCACCATTCCTTCGCAGGCCCAGACTAAGCCGCCAATTCACTGCCCGGTGTAACTCTTCGACAATACAAGCAACCACAGCATAACGGAGCGGGTCGGGATCTTGGGGATCTGGGATGTCGCGGAGCTTCCAGTCGGGGCGCTTGAAGAAGTACTCCGTCTCATATCCCATCAAGTCGTATTGACCAGCCAGGAACAGGGCGTAGAGGCGGTAGATTGACCGTAGTGGGGTGTCGCGCATGCGCCAGATGGGGATTGCTATAAGGTTGTGGAGATCCCCAAAGATGGACTTGATAATCCCAGTTCCACGGTTTTCATCCTCGATGAGTGCTCGACAGGAATACGGACCGGGAATCTTGAAGTACCAAGATGGATACGGAATGAACAAGCGTAGGAGTGCTATCAAGGGATGTTTGTGGTTCTGCCTCAGCCGCTGAAAACTAGCGCGTAATTCAAGCGGGGACCTCGCATAACGGAGCCAGATCCGAAATCGCCTCCAGAGCGAGATCTGTGGTTTGGAGCGACGACGTGGTGGCATCTGGTGGTCACGGCTTCGCAATTATCGAGGGAGGTTGTCGGAAGGAGAAGCAAGGCAGATGGAATAATATGTTGATGTGGTGATGGTGGTGGTATGTTGGCTCGGTTTGCTCGGTTTGCTCGGTCTGCTCGGCTTGCTTGGTCTGCTGTGTTTACCATGTTTGCCATGTTTAGACTGTTTATGCTATTTGCATGTGTCATACTATCGCTTCGGCCCGCGGCCATCTTCCCCATGCCATGTTCCCCGAAACCATCATTTCCACATTTCCTACTTTATCATCGACACTCCATACTAAAGACGCCTTTGTACCGGTTCAGACATACTCTCAAGAGATGTCCCTACTTCGCTTGCCAAATGACGTGCTTTTTATGATTGCCGACCTGCTGACTGCTAGAGAAGTGGTTGTGCTCTTGGAAAGTGATCCCCTCTATCACTTCCTCAACGGCTACCTATTCGCTAGATACGTCAGAACGCGGGGCCGCGAAGGTGCGATGAACAGTGCAGCCGCGCACGGCGCGGACGAGGTGGTGCAACGACTTCTGGACTCCGGGGTGGAAGTGAGCTGGAAAACACCATACTGGTCTTGCACCAGCACGGACCCCGATGCGTCATATCACCGGCAGATGACACCAGAGGTCCGGCAGACGTTCAAGCTGCATCCCATCCTCTTTGCGGCGAGCAACGGCCGGACCAGCGTTGTGGCGAAGCTCTTAGAGCACGGCGCCGACATCAATACCAAAGACCCGGGAGGCAACAGCCCGCTCCACCTCGCCGCCTATCATGGTCACCTCGAGACCGTTCGCATGCTGGTCGAGCGCGGCGCCAATCTGCTGGCCGTCAATGCCTCGGGGGGACGCGCAATGGGCCTTACGGCGCATCGGCGCTTCGACGAGATCGGCGACTTCCTGGACGACGCTCTCCAGCGCAAGTATCCGTCGATGCATCGGGTCCGTCAAAGGGAAATGCACCAACTGCTGTGGTACGCCGCTCGGGAAGACGACTTTGATCGCGTGCGGGATCTCCTTGCACGAGGCGCCGAGATCGACTATCAAAAGCCCCTAAATGACTCCACGGCCCTGGTAGCCGCGACAGCCTGCGGGTCTCCGGAGATGGCCCAGCTTCTGCTGGAACACGGGGCAAGTCCGAATACTTCGCTATCTCCCAGGCCAGGACCTCCTCGACAGGGTATTCCGAACCTTACACTGGGCCCATTGGGGTGCGCTCTTGAGCGCGAGCAAAGTCACCGCTTTATTGAACTACTCATCGAACACGGGCTGACGATGGCGATGCAAGCTTCCCACCTGGAGAGAGCGTTGGTTCTTGGGAAGTTGGCTGAGTTTCGCTTGCTCGTCGACACGGGGGCGGACATTGTGGCGGATCCACGGATCATCAGGCGCCTATATCGTGAGGCCGTTACTCGGCAGCACTGGGATATTGTCGATATGCTATCTCGCATGAGTGACAAGGTCTTGGAACCTGGCGAAGAGTTTATCGGAAGTTTTACCTTGACAACAAAAGACGGGCGTTACCCGCAATCCTCCGCATGATCGGTCCGGTTCAAGTCGGCTTTCTGGCTGGCGTTACCATTCATGTACGGCTGTCACCTCAGCAGCGAATAGGGGCTTTCTTGTCCGCAGATACAGAAGCCAGAGCATCGAGCCTCCACGACCTACGTAACGGTCGGATTACAGCTTAAGGAATGTGCTGCCATTTCACCGTGCGCGATATACTGCTCAGAATAGTTTGTCGTCACGGCCCTTTACTCCAAGACTCCGAAACCAGGAGTCAAGCATGGTGAATCAGTTTGGCCACCATGATATGACGAAAAACAATCAAGCCCAGGTGGATTGGTGGAAGTGTCCAGTGTAGGGCGAGAGAGTCGACAGTCACGTGACGATCAGTATATGAGCTGCAGGATCATGCAGTACCCGTGCACACAACCCCAGTATGAACGCTCAACCATCTCCAAACCCGGAGGAGCTTGGGGGAACCTTCTACATACTCTTATTCTGCTGTTCCCTTTGGTAAATGACTCCACCGCCAACCTCGGGTGACAACGAGATAAGCACGTATCCACCGGCATGTCGTGGGTCACATGGCCGATACTGGACATCACAACCACATATATCGGCGATGAAGGAGCAATTATGAACTTAAATCTACTTCTGTCTATACTGGGTGACTGGAATGCTTGACTGAAGGCTGTACGACTATCAGTGCTCGTACCCCCGTGCATGAGCCATTGCATCACTATGCATGCCAAGAGTACCCAGTTCGCCGAATCATTGACGTGTTGAATTATCTGACTGAATCTGCCATTACCCAGATCGTGAAAAAACACGAGGAGGAGGAAAAGGGGGATCAAGATGAGCATCACTAGTATCCCATCAGGGTCCACATTCATGGAAGACAATTCTCTCGGGCACGTTACTGTGCCCTGATTGGATAGCCTTTCTGCAGCCATAAATCCCCCCTCATCCTCCCGCCTCCTTTTGGCCACCAATCAACCCTATCAGAGTACCCGCGCGAACAGGAATGATAATGCCACGCCAGGGTATTTGCCAACCAGGTACTCAGGAGCACATTCTCGCCTGCATGCATGCATACATTTATATTGCAACCCTGCACTAAATCTCAATAGTCAGTTTCTGCTTCTTTCCTCGTGCAGTTCAGATGACTTCATAACCAGCTAAGTTCGCGGAGGCATTCCTCGCCAGGCTTTGGTGTCTTACACTGTCGCTAAAAGGTTTGCGCTGCCTTGTATAACCCTGACCTGATCCAGTTTTCATCCAGCAATTCCGCATCTTGTGGAACAAGAGATCCAGACGCGGTCAAATAAGACTATCTTCATCCTCTAAGGTTCAAAGGCTTCGTGCATCACAGAAGTACGGCTAAGATAGCGGGACCATCTCCCGCCCGGTCTTGTTGTCTTACACGGTCAAAGGTTTGCATTGCCTTGAGTGATCCCGAGCGGAACCAGTTTACACCGAGCGAGGTCAGTCCTGGTGGAACGAGTGATCAAAACGCATTTAAACAAGCGCATTCTCATGCGCATCGACCCAGACGCTTCGTGCAGAACTCGAATACAGAACAATGGCTCGACTACTTTATCAGGCGGCGTGCTGCCTCGCGGCTCTAAGCCCTTTGGCATGGGCCTGGTCTTCCGTGGAGACAAACCAACCCCAATTACCAAGTCGCACCAACCTGGACACAGCGCAAGTGCAGGCCGCACTCAGTCCGCTGCTCTGTTCCACGTCCAGCGTGTTTGGGCCTGACAGCCCGCTGTGGCCGAACGCAACGTCACGGTACCAGGCGTACGAACCCCCGAAGATCAAGGTGGTCGTACGCGTAGGGTGCGAGGAGGATGTCGCCACTGTTGTACGTCTTGACACCTCCTCTCGCGTTCTCATATTGCTTTGGAAGCGTGCAAACAACAAATGCACGGCTAACGCGAATATCAGGTTCGATACGCCAATGAGAACGATTTGCCTTTCTTCACGGTCAACCGCGCTCACAGCATGACAACTACTCCGGGCCAATTCTACGGTCTGGAGATTGACATGCAACTGCTGACTGGAATCGACATCAATCCGGATGGCGAATCCGCTCGCTTTCAGGGCGGGACGTTTGCCCAGGAGGTGATAGACGTGCTGTGGGAACAGGGTTATGTAGCAAGTCAGTCACCCCCCTATCCTACTTTGCATCGGACAAACTGAACGGCTGACAAATCTCCCAAGCCACCGGAAGCTGCGGCTGCGTCGGAATGGTCGGTCTCGGTCTGGGCGGGGGCCACGGCCGTCTGCAGGGCCGGCACGGGATGGTCAGCGACAACTACCTCAGCTTGAACGTGGTTCTTGCGAACGGGACCACGATCACAGTGTCCGACACCTCGCACCCAGACCTCTTCTGGGGCATGAAAGGCGCGGGCCACAACTTCGGCGTGGTCACCAGCTTCGAACTGCGCATCTTCCCCCGCCAGGAGGAGACCTGGTACTACCGGAACTATGTCTTTTCGCAGACGCAGCTCGAGCCGTTGTTCGAAGAATTGAATCGGCTGCAGGGCAACGGCACGCAGCCGGTCGACATCGCGTGGCAATACACAATGTATCAGCTGGACCCCACGGTCAGCGCGACGGAGGTAGCACCCGCCCTTCCCACAATCCTCATCACCGTTTCAACCTGAAGTATATTAACCCCGTGCGAGGCAATCATCCTCTGGTCCTTCGCCTACTCCGGCCCCGAAGCCGCGGCGCAGCCTCACCTGGCCCCCTTCGACGCGCTGCACCCTCTCCGCGTCGACGACGGCAACGTCCCGTATACCGAGATCCCGAACGCCCAGAAGACCGGCGTGAACGACTCGATCTGTGCGCACGGTCTCGCGCACATGGTCTCAACCGCGGGCCTGCAAGTGTACAACGTGACCGCACAGCGGGCGATCTATGATGTTTTCAGCGAGATGCTGCGCTCCATTCCCGCGTTTAATGCCTCCGTCGTGCTCATGGAGGGCTACTCCCTCCAGGGCGTGTTGGCCGTCGACCCCGCCTCGTCGGCGTATCCCTTCCGCGACGACTATCTGCTCATGTATGTATTTCCCGCCCCTTATAAGGCTCAAAGTGTGGGAGCTATACTCTATCAGGCAAGTATGCCAAGTCGCTAATATGAGCCTTTGCGCAGGTGGGCCGCTGTCACCCACGTACCCGATGATGCGTTGGATGATATCGCGATCGAGTGGGCGGGTCGCATCCGCGACCTGTGGAATGAGGGACAGCCCACCCGGCGCCCGACGACGTACGTCAACTATGCCTTTGGGACGGAGTCGCTGGACTCGATGTATGGGTATGAGCGGTGGCGGTTGGAGAGGCTGCGCGCCTTGAAGCGGGAGTACGATCCGGACAATCGGTTCGCGTATTTCAATCCGATTCCTGTTTAGAAGGTCTGAAATTGGTTTGAAGGTGTACAGTCGTGATTGAATGGTAGGGTGCGTGCATGTCCAGGTGCAACTGTTACATAACTTTGGGGTTGCATTGTCGGTGTCGTCGTATGGTACCTTAGTTGCGGACTCCTCCGGGTGCTGGGAGAGGGGCTTTCTCTATTGTTTGACTGCGACGCCTCGCAGATCGAAGATGGTCCCTTCCACGCCGTGCGACATGGTATCATGGGATTGTAGGGCAAGAACAATCCGATTCGTTCAAAACAGCACTAAATGGCGGTTCGGCCATCATTACGCGCAGTTCCGATTCAGTCCCTGAATCGGCCCTAACAGCGGACCTATTGATCCCATTGATTGCGCGTATGTGATCTTATTTCCCTATAAGGAATTGTAGGGCTCCCAGCCCTGACAGAGATATTACTATCTTTTGCGATCTCTGATCTAGAACGTGGGCCAGCTCGATTATGCTAGCAGTCAACTGGCATTGCGGGGTTTTACTACATGTCCTGGTCTAGGCTTACCATCCCGCGGGCACGCCGGCAAAGCTCAGAAGAAGAAGGAATGGCGACAATATCACGAGACAAGGAAACAAAAAGCGTAGGACCAGACCCGAAAAGGGACAAGATGCAAGCAGATAAGAGAGCTGGAGCCACCCAAACAGGCGGGAAACAACCTCGTTCCAGGCATTGGGGCCACAGCACCAGCGTGTGTCCTGCCAAAGCCCTAAAGAATTCAACTAGTTACCAGTTAGCTAGTGAGCACTACGTCAACACTTGTCACCCGTGGGCCTTATTGGCGGCTTTAACAAGGAACTGCCATTGTCCAGCGATAAGAGCAAAACTGAAGACGAGGGTGGCTGGCTAGAGAACGCGACGCTAGCCATTATCAACCCCACTCCAGGTGGAGCTCTCAACATCGGATGAAGCCCAGACTGGGCAAGGTTGATGTCGATCGTCGATCGGATCTCCCCACAGGCCCCCATCACGAACGAGATCAGCAGCCGAGCTGAGCTGAGCTGGGGCGGATCCCCATTTTCGGGACCTTCAGCTGAAAAGGAAAAACAGGGAATCGAACTTGCCGTTGCTGCCTGTGGGGACCTTTCGTCCGGCGGGGGTATATGATGTGCCGATTATCCCGGCAGTGGGATTGCATTCTCGAAATCTGGACGTGTGGCTTGCTGTTCGTACTCAGGCAACAGTTGACATTCACCATCTTACTCACACAATAGACAGCATGGCGCGAGATACTGAACTCCTTTCTTTGTCCAGCTTCGGCGAAGACCTCATTGCGAGCGGGGCCTTCTCCTCCCTGCAATCCCTTGACGTCTTCTCCACCGCCACAGTCCGCAACGAAAAGCGCAGCAACCTCGTAACCACCCCAGATGTATCGCCTCCGGCAACCCCGGCCCCGCGATTCCTCCCTCTATCGGGCTGGACCACGATGTCCCGATCGCTGTCAGCGGCGCCCCCGGAGATCCCGGCTTCGCCCGCCAACGAGCTGATCATCGGCGGCGCAGTCGTCCAGAACGTCGCCCTCGTGGTCGGGGAGTCGGTCTCGAGCGATCCGGCGCCCGAACACAAGGACCACGATCTGTACAGCGACGTCAAGGTCATGCCGGTCCCGGTCTCCGGGGTGCAGCGAGGCGGGGGTTCGCTTCTGGTCGCCTCGATCGGCAAGACAGCCGCACAGCCCATGCTGCTGCTGCCGGCGGAGAATGATGCTGAAATCGCGTTCCCCGAGACGGCGACGCCGGTCGCGCTGCCTGAGGTCAAGAAAGAGATGGCTGCCGCCAAGGGGGAGGTCGGCGCCGCTGCGGTCGATTCTTATGTTCTCAGCGGTGACATCAAGGATTTCTTCGGCATCAAGGGGCTGAAGGCGAAGCTGTACTCTTTCCGAAGCGAGGATGGCAAGAAGAAAGATGACGAGAAGAAGACGAAAGCGGGTGAGAAGGACGGCGCCGAGAACGAGGCGAAGAAGGAGGCCCGGCCGGACAAAAAGCCTCCGGTCGGATCGAAAGATGCTGAATCAAAGCCCAAGAAAGAGAAGATGGAAGATCCCCAGTCCAAGGACAAGAAGGATGGACAGGCAAAAGACAAGGGTGACAAGAAGGATGAGCCGATCCAAGAAAAGGTCAAACTCAAGGATATGGATTCCCCGCTCGGCATCCTCTTCCCCGAGATCGAGCAGTCGACAATCCAGAAGCTTCCGCTCAAGAATCTGGAGTTTACCTATAGCAACAAGGAGAAAGATAGCCTTTTCCCGGTCGGATTGCGACTCGAGGGTGACCTGGAGTTTCAGGATGGCTTGCAATTCGTCTCGGACGGGCTCAAGAATGTCTTTGGCTCCGACAAGGGAACAACCCTGCCTTCCAAGCTGCGGGTCAGTGCGTTGATTGCCAAGGAGCGAGACTGGAGCAAGAAGCCCAAGATCGAGGGTTTGGTCTTGCAGGCCTATGCTGATATGACGTTGCCGAAGTGGGATTTCCTGGAGTTCAAGACGGTGGGCATCGAGTTGTCAGCGAGGAAGGAGGAGAAGAAAAAGGATGATAAGAAGGAAGGTGGCAAGAGAAAGAAGGGTGAGAAGGGCGATGAGGGCGACAAGAGCGAGCAGACTAAGCAGCAGGGAAACGACAAAGATAAGAATAAAAAGGGAAAGGTGCAGGATGCCCAGCCTGAAGAAGGCGAGTCTGCATCTTCGGAAGTAGCCGCCGTGGTGAATGTGCTCGAAGATGACTCCAGCCCTAGAAACCCCGAGGAAGTCCCCGAGTCGAAGGAAACGGAACCCAAAGCGCTCGACGAGAAGGTACGCAAGGCGTGTATTTACTTACAACTCCCCCGAATTTGCTAATG